AATCACAGCACACAACGCCAGTTTTGGCCAGTATGACGAGAGGACATTCCGTTTTTGAATTCAAGTAAAAACAAAGTTTCGTCTTTCCATTGTATTCCCACTGTTGCATGTCTTGTTCGGCAATATGTCTGACGTTTCACTCCACGTACTGGAAGCTTTTTCAACGCGCGGTACAACCCGAAAACACACGGGAGAGCTTGGCATCACGGCTGTGAAAACCTACGCAGAAGGGACATTTTCACTCGAACGACTCAAGTTATTGCCCCCTGCTTCATTACGAACCCCCAGTGAATATCCCGCCTGTCGTTCCGGACAGGGTTCAATGATGGGCAGCCCTCACATGCGCAAGCGGGTGGCTGCCACAGCGGACGAGACGCCGACCTCCGCCACGTTCACTCAGCCCATCTCCAGCTCCAGCTCCTTTCTGGGCTCGCTCTTCAGCAGCATGAGGGGCAAGGGCGCTGCCGCGGGGGGCCCTCCCGCGGCGGGCACGCGACCCCCCTCCGCGGGGGTCTCCACCGTGCAGGCCCTAGCGCATGCCGCGGGCGACCCATACTACCCGGCGCCAGCGACCGCCGCGTCTCTGCCTCCTCCGCACGCCGCGACGCCGCCGCCTCAACCCCAGCTGCCGCCGCCGCCGCCGCTGCACGTGCACGCGCACCACACGTGCTCGCACCCGCACCTGCACCCGTGCCAGCACGCCGCGCTCGGGCACGTCCACCTGCACGCCGCGCACTCCGCGCCGCCACCGCACACCGCGCCCGGCACCCCGCCGCAGGTGCCCGCCGTGTCCAAAGCCAAGGCGCCGTCGGGCAGCATCAGCACCGACGTGTGAGAAGGTTCGGGGGGGGCCTGGTGGGCTGGGGTTGGGGCGAGGCAGGCTGGCGATTTGTCGAGAGATGAACACGCAGACGCAATGTTTAGGCAGCGTCAGGTTCATTTCCGTTGGGGGTGGTGGTGGGGGAGTTTAAATTAGTGCTGCCGATTATAACCAAATCACCAAGAATGCACAATTTTCTCGTCACTTCTCGGAAGCCAAATGGTGTCGAGCCACCAATGGTGCTCAGATGGGTGACCCCTCGGCCCAAAGAAAGTTGCGATCAGCGTTGGGTGCAGCAGAGGCCAGTGCAGAAAGAAAAAAAAAAACCCGATTATTCTGTACTCCCCCCTACCTCCACATCCACACTGACCAGCCAGTTTGAGTATGGTCAAATGTCCTTCGTGGCTCATGAAGCTCGTGGGGAAAGCCCTCATCCATCAGTGGATTGACAAAGCAAGGGGCGGACGTGCACCGAACAGTGGCAGCTTTAGTGAAAAATCTCAAAAACAATAACACAACGCCGAGCTTACTGATTCCTGCGGAGGAGCGCGCCAGGTGTATGCATGCCGTCACGTCTTGTCACGTCGCTGGCAATGTACGAACGCTCGGTCACAGCCGCTTACCTTGCCCGTGACCTGGCCACACTGATTCGTGGGAGCGGGGGGGGGTGGGTCTGTGTTATATATATATATTTTTTCGACGACCCTCTGCGATGTCTCGAAGTGCAAAGCCGAGGCGATGTCCACTTGCGGCCGTGGGGAAAGTCACGTGGGAACGGCGCCGATGCATTAAATAACAGACGACCTCGTAGCAATGGGTAAGCGGTCCATCCGCAACCGCAAATGTTACGATTTACAGACAGCCCGTCACGTTTTTTTTTGTGTTCGTTAACCCTTACCCCTTATCGGCGTTGCCCGGGCGGGCGCGCAAGTGCTGTGGCTACGTACGTAGCGGTGACAGGTGTGGTTATTCCAAGGCCGAGCTAGCTATGCACATGCTTGCACAAGTTGCCAGCGTTGTTTCCCAGCACATGGTAATATTATGCAGACCCACGAGGAGCGGCGGTGTACGTACGTTGTATGTTGGAGATGATCGAAGCCCGCCTGCCGACTGCCCCCGCGCCCCCCCCCCCCCCCGCCGCCTCCAATTGTTGTTATTGTGCACGTTTGTGGATGAGAATGGTGATCACGATTGGTGGTCACAAGCTTCCCACCATGCTGCAGTAGACACAGGGGCTGTGCCATGTTTGTTAATCTCTGAGTATACCACAGATGAGGACCACGGTTGTGAAATTTTAAGATGTTTGGAAACAAAACCCCACGTCAAAATGAATGGCCAACAGCTCTTGAATGTAAGTTAAATACTGCAGGTGTTGACTGTTCCTCTTTTTCAGAGTTTAGCCATCATGAGCCATGACTCGATTACCGAACATCAATCAATTGGGGTTGTGCAACTCTGCCGACCTTAATTATCAGAATATTTATTTATACTGGAAGAAATCCGATGAGCTATGAAGCTCTTTTTCACACATGCCCGGCAGTGACTTCACTTTGGTTACCAAACGTTCAAAAAGTATTACTGTATATGATCTTTGACAACAAAAAGCAACACACGTGTACATTGAACCTTGCATTTTATTGTGAATTATGTAAATAGGCAAACATCAGAAACTGACTTAATCACTTCACGCTGTGGGCACTGAAAAGTGTGAGTGTTGCGAATTGGGGATATTGGCGAACCCATGTACCCGTTGGTTACTTTCTCAAAGATCGACAAAGAAAACCTGCCAGTATTATGTTCCGTTCGTCCAGTAGTTCTTAAGATGAGCAGTTTGGTGGTGATCGTTTCCGATGGTGGAAATGACGGTGATTAATTGTGGTTGTGACGGTGACGGGCTGGCGGCGGAGGAGCTCAAGCTTAAGGACAATCTGCTGTTGGCAAATGTTCGAGTTGAAGCTATTTAGGGCCTGATATTCTCACATGCAAAAAACGCATTCAGTTGTACTGTAGTATTAAGAATGTGGACCTCAGCAGGCTGAGTCAAAGCTGACAAATCTGTGCATTGTACAAAAATCGCTTTCATCAATAGACATTCAGCATCGTTAAGCAGTTAAATACTTGTAAGGCATGTCAGGAAAGAGAAGACATTGCATACCAGCATCCTTTTTTTAAGTTTCAAATTCAGTGATTGTCAATGTTTGACTCGAAATGATTGTACATTGTAGACAAATAGCCTTCGATATATAAACATGTTATGTGCTTCGTAATCCCCAAACGTAGAACTGCCGATTTTGCTACAGGTTACACAGTACATGCACTCGTCGACTTAATATTGTGATGTGCTAATGAGGTGAAGACCTTATTGTTGCTTGAATGTGCAATATCTATCCCCTAGAATACGTGTTGAATCCACATGCCGATATGTGCTTTTATGATACTGTATTCGTAAAAACGGCCGCTGTTTTGTTAGCATAATCACTCTGCTCACTTGATGATGGCTTGAATGACATTTTTTTGACCCAAAGGCAGAAGTGTTATTTAAAAATAAAACTATATAGAATATATTATAAAAAAAACTATATAAAAAATGCTGCATGCTTGATAAAAGTTTGCCCAGAAAAGGTATATTGCAATTTCAGTGTTAAGGCTGTTAATGTTTTGTATTTTACTGTGGACTGTTTTTTCCCCAAACAGCCCGACAATGTCTATAAATGTCGACCTTTTTAAGTTTGCAAACTTGTTGTGTTGCGAGGGAACGTACACACTGTATTAGCTTTAGCAATGTAACGCTAAACCTCTGCGGAATTGTTATGTTGTGATTGTGAGGATGTGTAAATTCGGACTGAATCCACGAGTGACAGCATTTTCGGCTTTGCTTCAAAATCTCGACCCCCACCCCCCCAGCTCTCTCACTCGATTCGTCAGTTGTACGAGGCCACCGTCAACTGGCCCACCACTCGGCTCGTGACGTGCAACAACCTTTAAGCGCGAATGCTGGTACACAGGATGGCCTTGCAAAACAAATGGTACAGTCGAAAGCCTTTGTACATTTTGTAAATCGCAACCTCAGTGGAACCAGAAGTTTGACGTCAAAGCTTTTTTGTTGGTAATAAACTCCTGCCTTTCCCTGCACTGGGATTTGCGTGTGCATTGGTGAGAATGCTAAGTCTTCATCTGCAGGGTGCATTGCAAAAAAAACCTTCCTTGCCAAGGTTGTTTATTAACACTTTTATTATACGCACACACAATCAAAATATACATACAAGTAAACATTGTGATCATAAAATAATTGTATCCAAGTAAAAAATAATTTTTAAAAGTTTAATTACATCACAGGAGGGGGAAAAAAATATTTCTTAAATATTCCGACGTCGAATTTTTTGTTTGTTCATCTTGCACATACTGGTCATGAATGGGATTTTATTTCTCACAAAATCTCACATTGTTCCTCCGGCAAATCTTCACGGTTGACCGGGCATGTTCCAGATATGAGTAAACGTTCCGTGTGGACAAATATTCAAGGTTAAGATCGATGGCGAATGTCTGCAGCCTTCAGTTCTGATAACAGAACCGTGTGTTGTTCAACTCATCTGAATGCATTTAGGGTCAGAGCAGTAGCCTTAATCCTCACCCACGTTTAAACGGGCAGATCTAAGTAGCATGTTGTGGAAAAAAAGGGGCTTTATCGGATTCCACTAAATTAAACTTGCACTTAAAAGGTGCGTTTGAGTTAAGTCAACAAGCACTGTGGCCTGACTGATCACCATCTCTCACCAAAGCCAGTCCTTTACTCTTCCACCGGCTGTTTACCTTGCACAATCAACATGACATGTGGAGATTTTCTTTTCCTTGGCTCACCGCAAATTCCCCTCGGAAATATTGACACTGGGGATGACTGTGTGTACTAGACACATACTCACGCCAATGAGGCAAAACAAAATCAACAACTTCCATAGGGCTATCCCTGCCAAGCTCGGGAAGAACTAATTTTTTTCATTTTACCAGGTCAGGCCCACCGCGCTACAAAGCTCTTTTTTTCAGAAGTGACCTGGCCACAAATGACAGCTCAGCAAAGTGGCTTACGTGTAAATTTGTAGCAGCCAAATAATCAAACGCATGTTTCTATATGTGGAGGGAAAAAGCGGAGGGCCCAGAAAAAAATCCAAATGACCACAGGGAGAACATACCAACTTGAAATATATACAGTAGGCGTCAGGGTCGGGATCAAACCCACGACCTCCTGTATACTAGGGCGAGGTAGTTAACATCTCGCCACCATGGCACCCCTAACGAACGCGCACACGACGACAGTGATGGATCACACGTGCCGTAGGTCGCCCTCCAGGCCGTAAATCTTCGCCTTCAACCGGTGAAGCTCCCCCTGAATCTTGCGCGTGCGAGTGTTGGAATCCCTCACCTCGTGCAGGATAGCCAGGTCCTGATTGGGTCCGACACCCAGGGTAACCTGCGGCCAGACAGGCAAGTTCCCACAGGTAAGGCAGGATGTAAACTCCTACCCCTTATGTTACAGCCTTTGAAGTACTATTAGATGTGCGCACGCGTTATATCGAATGTAAAAAAAAAAGACGTCCATATTTCATAACTTATGCTGCTTGTGTATTAACAAACGTGTATGAATGAGGTAGGCATATTCATGCACAGCTTTTTACACAAAATTGTTGAAAATATATTTTAATTCATATATATTTATTAACAGTATACTAAGATATTAATGATGCAGCAATTAAAATAAATTATTATGCTAACTATTCACGCGTTTATTTGTACGTGCGTGAATTGTGATTTATGCAGAGTATATGCAAATGTAAAATTGCGTGAATGACACTATTTATGACACGAAGCAGACAATACAAGCGGGACAGAAAATACGAGATAAACCTCAAATCAAACCGTGAACTTGAATCGGAAAAATGTATTGAATCGCTGAGAGGGATGCGGATTATTATATTCTTAGTTTTCACACAAAGATCCTCTGTATAGCCTTAACAGATTGTTGGGGGAAGTGCTGTTAGCGAGCACCTATGAAGGCTGGAACGGCACACGAAGACGGAGGTGGCCAACACCACGCCCGACTGCCTTTGTTTACACACCGCACCAGGTACTCATTTCAGGCCGAGTCGCCCTAGGGAAGGCCCAGAACTGGTTAAAATAATTGCCACTCGTGTTGGCCGTGAGCGGCAATCAAACTCGGGTGGCCGGATTCATAGCGCAGCGCGCTAACCGCTACACTACCCGCTCCCCACGAGCGGTAGTCTAGCGGTTGCCTTGTTAACCAAGACACACATGGACGCACAAACATGTGTACACTAATTGACACAACGCCTAGTTTACACACACACTAAGACACAAGGCACACAAAAGCATGGGTACACTTAATGCCTACTTTCCACAGACACACAACACACAGGCATAGCAACATGTGTAAACTAATTAATGCACAGACAACGTGGGACACAGAAACACGTATGCATTGACACTTAAAGACGTAAATTACGATGCCAAAGTCACCCTGAAGAGCTGCTTCTCCACGTCCTTGAGACGCTGCCGAAGCAGCTTGATGTCATTTTTGAAACCTTCCACCTCCATCGCCCTCCTCTTCTCCAGCGCCTCGTAGCGCTGCGTCACCATGCGCAGCCGCTTCGCCATCTTGTCGGAGCGATCCTGTCGGCGCGGGGAGGAGGGACTACGCGTAAATTAAGGCGCGTGCCGCTTCATATCGGGAGGATGGTTTTGGGGGGGCCGTGCTGTGCGGACCCAACACCGCAGGAACAACAGACAACCCTCAATCGAAGAGTGGGGAGCCTACGGCATGCAACTTCTTTTCATGTGGCCCGTGGACACGTGATGGCGACCACTTCGAATTCCTGTGTGTTGTTTGAAACTTGTGGTTTTACAAGCCTGCACTGTTATTCTGTTACGATGGGGTTTTTCTCATAATTTACAGATTTGATCACTTCGAAGTAGCCGCAAAACAACATGATATATCCATCAGTGAAAGCATCTTAGCTGCACTAATCGGACACTGGAGGGGAATATTTTCAATCTGGCAGCTCTGTTTTATTTTATCACACTCAGTCACTTATCACTGTTATGGCTTCTTTGAATGGACAGAAGTGACTGAGGTATGTCCATATATATATAAAATAGATGCTATATACAAGTCAAAACTGTATTGTATCCACTGGTAAAACAGCAGGAAACGTACCATATTTGTGTTTACAACATTGGGGTGTGATAAAACATAAGCTTGAGACCCACAGTGCTAAGTACCCACTATGTGGTTGGATTGAAGGCGCAATGCAGAAAGCAAGCATCAATTACATTGTAAAAACATACATATAAGTAGGATGAGTTCTTGTAAAAGTGCATTCACAAATCGACACTTTCGACACGGAATTTAAGACGCGTAACTGACAATTTTAAAAACACATGGTGCACCATTAGATAAGGGTTCAGAGATTGGTCAGACTTAAAAAAAGAACAATCAAATTACCGAGTGAGCGTGTGCTTATGGCCCCTGAGTAATGTCATTCCCATGTGTGTTAATAGGGTGTCGTCAACGTGGTGATATCACTGATGTCTGTCTAGATAAGTATTTACAAGGGCTTTTTTATTGTTTGGGTTGTCTTCGTGTAAGAACCAGATTAACAATATCCGTTGCTATCAATAACAGTAGAATTGGGTCTATTAAAAGCACATGTTTCATTATTGATTACATTTGTGTTTATATTGCTCACTATACATGCATCGAATCATGTTAATAATAACAGATTATTTTCAAATCATGCTTACTCTATTAACTTTAAAATGTTATCTTCTATCTCGAACTTTAGGTTAAGTGGGAACGAACAACGCAGTTAAAACGAGAAAATAGAAAGAAAACACCAAACGAAACAGAGGAGACGGAATAAACAAGACAAACGAAATCATATGCTTGACTGAAAACTCTAAACCCTGACTATTCACAGAATCGCCTTGGGGGAAGAGATGACTAAGCTCCATGCCTTAAGAGTCAATGCCACCTACTGGGGCGAAGGTTAAATTACAATTCATTATACATTTGCAAAACATTTATTTCCTTTGATATAATTTTTCCAAATATTCACGTCGTTCAACATGCAGGAGAGATCATATTTCCGCATGGATTTTGGTCATTGTTATTCCATATATGAACAACATTCAGGTTGGAAATTAAATGTATGCATTTTATGTAGTACATTTAGGAGAACGGAACAAAGCAAACTTTACAACAGCAAAGAAAACAACCAACACAAATGAGGTGAAAAAGAATCAGATGTTGAATACAATGGCAGCCCGATGTTGTGGTAATTTGTAAATCACCAAGGGGGAGTGGGTAGGGGTTTTGATCATTCATCATCATAAGCCATGATCAACCTACTGCTGGATTGGATTATGGCTTCCCCAAGCTGTTGCAAATCTCTCACGATCCTGTGGTGTTATAATCCACCTAGCACTTGTGCACAAAGGGATGTTGTGACGAATCGTTACATGGCACGCTTTCTATTATTTAGCCAACAATACCTTGAATATTTCCTTGCCGACATCTCCCTCTTCGCGGATGCGCGACAGCTCATCTTCCAGGGAGACGCACTGCTCACGGAACATCTCAGCCAGCCGGTGCGCTTGCTTCAACTCCTCTTGCAGGCCCTGCCAGGCACATTAAGGGATGTAAGCACGCAGGAAAACTTGTTTGTACGCACGTGTGCATGCACACACGGGCTCTTACAAATCTACTCACCTTTCTACAACTGCACAAATTATTTTTAACTTTTTGCAGCCTATTGGCCTTTTGGCCAATTAAATATCCGTGCTTATGTTAACCAGGGTCCCCCATCATTTAGAGGGAGTGCTCCTACCCAATTACAATCTGGTAAACCAACAGAATTTGTTTATCAAACCTGACTCATGACGAGACCTGAAAGGACGAATGCAGTCCATAAAATGTCAGCGTAAACAATTGAATATAAATCTCGAATGTCAATAAGTCAGAATTCATTTTTTTTATTACAAGTGTTTACCCAGGAAAGCCTCACTAAGCCTTATGACACTTTTTCAGGAGGATCCTGCCACGTTACCATAGTAGGAGCCTATTATTGCTATGTAGATACTACTTGAGTATTTGAGAATGGAAATATTTACTATTTAGTTCAGTACACACAAATATATATTTTAAAGGCTCGAGTATAAGCCACGTCCAAAACAGCCATCCCATGTTTAGTTTGCCGTCTATATTAGTATGTCAAACACATTCGTATTTATCAAGTCCATTAGGATTAGATAAACAGAAGTCACAAACATTTGACTAGCTAATTGTTTTTTGTTACACAACCTATAGTGACATTTCCACACTAATATCGCCAATGGATTAATGTTATGTGACCCTGCTTTACCAAGCATATTTAAGTGGGCAAGATGTCATCCTTAAAAAATGCGTAAGTCAATTCACTGCCAGATGAGGGCTTGCCTATTATGCCGTATCCGTCGTGGGGGTTGTTTGACCATACTTCACCACAATGATCAGATCAAATACCACACTCCGCTGATGTTGTAGCCATGGCTGGAAATCAAATTCAGGTCGCTGGGACAATGTGTGCTAACCAGTGCAGCACCCAGGTGTACCCCACGTCATCCTTCACGATAACAAAATACATATTTTAGGCTTTCCTTGTTATAGCCACAACAGGTTTAAAATAGCAATGATACACAATACACCCTTGAGTCAATCCACTCTGGAAAATGACCTCCCCACGCCGTGCGGGTTACCGACTATATACTTCACCACGTTGGTCAGTGCTGCTTTGGTAAAAGCGGGGAGCATGCATGTGGAGGCAGAGAAGCGCAATGCAGCAACGCATTTTTCCACACCGCTCCTTGATTGATGCCTGTAACGTAACCCAACGAGTAGCCACAATACCAAATGAAGGTGTGTAGCCATAATAAAGGTTTTGCATCATGTTGATTCACTGCGAATAACCCAACCAATAATAAATAGGGACTGCATATTCTCAAATTAACATTATCCATTGTAATTTATATGACTACATTAACCCCACCCCCCCTCTGGTCTTCGCACCTTAGAGGCTCAGTGATGACATCACCTTTACGCCCCTATTTCAGACCGAAACAAGACTTCTTCACATTTCTGTCTATCGCCTGATTAGGCTGCTTGTAATCACCAGCGAAACGTCACTCAAATTGTAATGTGGGTTTACCCTCCAACGCACTGGTGTGGTGAACTAGTAACTAATTGGCACGTTTTGTTTACATGACAAAACTTACCAATTGGCTGTGTCAGGTGGTGGCGGGTTTAACGACGCATTTATATTTACGCGATCTAACCCAAAAAAAAACCTTTATTATGGGTATTGGTTGCAAAAGCCTGCGTGTTAAGGTGTGTATCGAACGGGCACAGTACCATTGTCCTGTCAAACCCTTTTAGAAACATCTTTCACCTTAAACTCCTCGCCCTGCTGTGCCCTCCGCTGCCGCTCAGACGGGGGAGTGAAGATGTCGGGAGGCCCATCCTCTTCGGTGCCCTGGCCACGGGACAGACGGTCCCGGCACGCGTCGAGCTCCTGCAGCAGCTGGTCCTTCTCCGCCATCCAGCGCTTCTCGTTGGCTCGTCCCTCGTACTTCAACTGCAGGAAGTCCCGCGTGCTCTCGTACAGCAGCGAGTGTGTCTCTTGTAGCCTAGCTCGGAGATGGGCAGAAGTGGCCGATAAAAGATGTTGATGCATTGATCTGTGAGGGTTTTCAACAGATTAAATTACTTGAAAGAGTGCAGAGTGTATACGATGTAACCCTGGTACTCATGTGCAATATATATTTTTACCGAATCTTCCCCAGATGGCAGATTTATCACATGACCAAAGGTGGTGGTGCCTTTGGACAACTGCGTCTGAGAAGAGCAGCAAGCCATTATTGTATTTTGTCAACGAAGGCTGTAAGGACAAGTGAAATGTATTGAAAATTGAAGCTGCAATAGGATGATAAAGATGTGTGAATCATTCAAAGTTTTACAAAATGGTAGAATAATTTCAAAGAGGATGTGCAACGACGGTGGAGATGATAACAGTCCAAGGTTGACTTTGAATGAAGCCAGACATTCTTTGATAATGGTGGGACTGTTGAAAAACGAACTGGTGCTCAGAGAAAAAAAATGCGTTGCTACCCAGCCACCGAGACTGATCTCCCACTCGATGGTCGACAGGCACAAAATCGTGGGACATCATTTGGCTGTCTCATTGGCAGTGCATTTTACTTTTCTGTCAGGGCGTTGATCTTTTCCTGATCGCGGCGTTGCTGGACTTGCATCTCCTCCACGCGAATTCGACGATCCTCCAGGAGAGACTCCACCTGCTCCTTGGCAAGCTTCGTCTGTTCCTCCAGCTGAGCCTGAAGCGCTTTCATCTGCAGGGCACACGCCATGCCAACTGCATGTTTATCAACAGTGGCACAGACACACAATTACGAGATCAATCTTTAAAAAAAAATACTTTTAATATTAATATTATAATTTTCCGTGTCGTTTGTCAATGTGACGTTTCAATTCGTTTGTCATTTTCCCAAATGTTATCCCAATCGTGTTTTCGGCATCACATCATGACGAAGAATATGTTCCTAAAATCTGTCAGATCAGCGTTTCATGCATTGTTAGAGAAAGACCTGCAGAGGAAGATATAAAATAAACACATTCCTGCAGAGGGAGCTGGTAGGAACGTTGGGTTGCTCGGTCAATGGCCAGGGTCAACGGCGGCATGGTGTATTCCGCAAATATGCCCGACTGTGAGGGCGGGCACAAGCCGGCGTGAGTAGGTTAAAGTTGAGTTTTATAAGGGCACCACGCGGTGACCAGCCCCTCCCCACCCAGCCCCACCTCCCACCCAGCCCCTCCCCACCCTCCCCTCCCCACCCAGCCCCTCCCCACCCTCCCCTTCCCACCCAGCCCCTCCCCACCCAGCCCCACCACATCCAGCCCCTCCCTACCCTCTCCACTCAACCACACCCCTCCCACGTGGACAGACATCCAGACATACACAATGAATCCCCTGCCTCCTGTGAATTAATCCCGGTTGGGCTTCCAGTCCATATAAGGGCACCACGGGGTGACCAGCCCCTCCCCACCCAGCCCCACCCCACCCACCCCCCACCCAGCCCCTCCCTACCCTCCCTCTCCACCCAGCCCCACCCCTCCCACGTGGACAGACATCCACAGACATTCACAATTAATCCCCTGCCTCCTGTGAATTAATCCCGGTTGGGCTTCCAGTCCACTACGTTTCCTACCAGTACTATTTCTGAGATTTCTTAGAGTGACATCTTATCCTCATTTGGGGGACAGCACTTTTCTACATGTCCTGCTACAGAGAAATGTTCCTCATACGAGTGAAGCCTATATTTTAAACAGTACAGTGTAAAAATAATATTTTATATAAATGTATTATTATGCAATCATTGGTGATCAGAATGAAATCATCAGTTTGGATTTGAACTCAGGTTTTCAGCAGTGCCAACTTAGTACTCTTGACTTTTGAACTACCCAACCAACTTTTGTGACTCATATTAATAATGACACTGGCTTTTGTACAATTCCCACACAATCTCATTTGATAGTGTGTGTGCGCGCGCAATGGATATACACTAGTGCACCTCAGTCAATACCTGCAGAACGAGCATCTGCTTGTCTCTTTGGTAGCGCTCAGGTGTTGTTGGACTGTCTGCACCGTTCGTTGGTTTTCCACTTGGCCTTTTAGTTCCTGAATGTAAAACAGTACATGGCATGATTAACGAAGCTGTGAATTAGTTACTGTGATATAATCTAAATAGGGAGTCCTATCTATGATATTGCATTGCATACGATATTATATAACTTATATCCCTTTCTAAATCTGTTATTAAATGAACACCATCACCATGTTACGTCTGCCATCGGGGTTATTTGACCGTACTTCCCCACGCTGCTCTGTGCGGGTCGGTACAAGGAGGGCTGGGACCAAATCAGATATCACTCGCCACCAATGTTAAATCGGGTGGGAATCGAACGTAGGTCATCAAACTGCATGCATGTTCAACTTCTTTCGCACCGTACATATCCAACCGTGCTAATCGCAGGTGCAGGGGAAGGACAATCAGAGGTGCGGGGGAAAGTACTGCATCAAGCACTGCACTCCTCAATGCGAATATTAATCGAAATCATGTGAGGTTATGTGAAGGCCTGATTAAGTTTACCTGATTTGCCCTGAGGTCGGTTTTCCTTGGCACTGAGTAGTTGACTCGATTTGGTTGATTTTTGTGGGATAATAACCTGAAACACAACCACAAAAATATGATCAAAATTAAATAATTTTTGCAATAAAAATTGTATACTATAATTACAGCATGACCATGTACATTCAATTAAATATTAGGCTTTATATAGTACAACCTACACATGGTTTGTATGTTGCCAGTAGTATATGTAAATTTAGCAATTATCATGTTATAACATAACATAGTAGCTAAAAACACTAAAACCTTGCGAGTGTAATTAAACAAGTGCTTAAAACATTCTTCAGTCTTCTGTACAAACAATAGCGACATACCTGTACGGAGGAATTTCGACATCATATTGGCTATTCACAAGTCAGCTTGGGCAGGACACGTTGTTAGAAGCGATGATGGCTGGTGGTCGCGACCAATGGTGGAGTGAAAGTGAAAGGAAGCAACACGCCTGACAGAACATCCACCAGAGAGATGCGGCCAAGCAAACAGCTCAGATGAATTGATTACATCCCAGGATCGTGCCGGACGACCAACGCTTGGGGGAGGCTTTTATCTAGCAGCGGATTGATTGTAGCTGGCGATGATGATTCAATTGTACTCTTGCATACAGTAATATGTTCAGGAGCTAAATGGCATTGTTGAGGTCTGCTCGCCACCAGAAGGCTTCAGGAGAATGATCGAGTAGTTTTGCTATTCCTCTTCCATTGGAGCGCAGGCTACGGTGGTCTATGATGTGGTCCATAGTTTGGGTTCCTTTGCCACAGTCGGATTGTGGCTTCTCTTTAATTTTCCATTGACGAAGGAGATGCGCTCATCGTCCTGTTCATATTACGGTGCAGTTGATGGTGCACCATTGCCTTCGAGGAATGTCAAAGCCAGGAGGTACAATGTTTGGGTGAAAATGATGAGAGAAAACGAAGCTTGCCATCATTACATTTTGGTGGGTGGTTAGTTTATTATAAAAGTGGCCTTTTACAGGGTTTAATGAGTCACCTTGTGAGGAGGCTCTTTGTAGAAGTAGGTGACCTCCCCTGTATCAGGACCCACCAGGGCGAGAAGATGCTGGATTTTTTTACGATCTTCCAACTCGCTATACAAAAACAAGAAAATACATTAGACCACAACGTCTTAGTAATCTCTGTAAAAATATCAATGTTCAAGACTTTTATTGTATCACAATTTTAACAGAGCCCACCAGGGTGAATACTATACTTCTACAAGTTATGGCAGCAGACTACGTAGTCAACTGTGCTACGGGGGAAGGAAAGCAAACTAAAACTAGGCTCGGCCAAGTACATCTATGCTACAAGAGGAAAAGATGGCTGTTAACGCGTGTGGGTCGGAGGTGCGTATGTTTGGCAGTTTGTGTCCCCCGCCAGCGGTTCACCGTATTTTGAGGCGGTCGTTCTCGGAGTAGAGCCGAAGCACATGCTCTCGCTCCTGGAAGAGGTAAACCTGCATGTCGCTCAGCGCCTTCTGCAGCTCGCCAATCTCTTCCTCGCGCTGCCGCATCTCCCACTGCAGCTTGTGCTGAACATGACAATGACAACACAAAAATATGATCGTGCCCTTCATGCACACAAGAAAGCCTCACTGACTGAGTGTTCAGACTCTTTTTCAGGACGATTCTCCATTGGGATGTTTGGCCAATTCCATTGATGAGCGTTTGGCCTCGTGTATGCATGTCCGGCAGGAGGGAACCAGAGCACAGTAGGCTACATACGATGCAAAATAAGTTCAACATACATACAGAAACAACCCACAAGGATTAACACTTAAAGCTCTGTGCAAATGGATTAAAATAACATTGATGTACTACCATATCCTGGTCACTCTGCAGCCCAAGTCTAATTATACCAAGTGTTTCCAGGTGGTCTCTCATCCAAGGACTAAACCAGGCTCAGCTTTGCTTAGCTTCCTAGATGTGACGAGTTTGTGGCCGATTCGTGGTGAATAACATGTGATGAATGACATTCGTTTAAACCCGTTTGCAAAACATAAAATTGTGTATAGAGTGTAAGTAATGATGCCGAGTGATGTGACTTCATTGGTGGGAATGTGATGTCATCTTATAATGTTGTTCACCGACACAACATAATGCACTACTGTGAGGTCCAAAGTATAGATTCTTTGTGTTGTGGCATGATACTGACAGCTCAGCTGGAACTGAATGTAAATGGCAAAATCATTCTTCGCCACTGAGTGATGGCAGCGTCTCTATTCCACAAAAGCCTAGGGTTTTGCAAAGAAGCAAAAGGCCATATACATGAAATCATGGGACAAACCAAGGTGTTATCGTGTGCATCTACACACAGTACTGCTCCTGGTGTTTGAGACAATTATATTATCAATGAAAAAAAGACCCAAAGATATGCCTGATAGCATGTGCGATTATAAGAGGATTGTAATTCATACACGCACATATGCCAGAAGGTTCTCGTAAAAATGTTCTGAACACAGCCAAGTGTAGCAGCCTGTGTTACAACCCTATATATGCAGCACATGAAATGCAAACTTGCATACTCTATAGAATTCATAATGGATGGACCTAACCTGGTCGTTTCATCTAAGTTAAATTCCATCCATCCATGCAATAACGCACCCACACATCTAACCATGCCGAAAGTACTTGTGAACCCTAAAGATTTAAGTGGTAGTATGATGACTTGTAAACCAATTTACTGTAAAACGATTTCCAAAGCTAATACTACTGCTTCATACATTTAATACAACATTTTTAACGTAATTTTTGCGATGAAAATCAATACGGGGTAAAACGGTTGCAAAAGATTGTACAGCCTACGACTCATATTGGTAGGATTGGCAAGTACAATACGTCACATATCTGACTAGATGGAGACTAAGGTATAGGCAAATATGTGAAAAGGTCTGATATTTATCCCATATTGACAGTTAAACCACGTACAAATAGGTTACTGGATAAAAATAAGCTGCTCTTAATGAATGAAAATCCTTAATTGTGCTTTCAAAGCAAATGTACACGAGATTAAGAATATATTGTTGTATGTGAAAAGGTTGAATTTTGAGAGTTGCACCATGCACAAATAATGCACCGCGTGCAAGCAGTTAAATGGACAGGGCGGATGAATATCCGATGGTCTGGTTTGCAAGGGTAGTGCTTCTGTGTTGGCTTGGGTTTAACAATTTTCATCATTTCTATGATGATGACAATGATGCTAGAAAATGGCAGTTTACAATATGCACAAATACTGCACTGGGAGACAGTTGTATCATTAGGACAGATACGTGACGATTACACGCGTGACGTTACACTGTGTGCGTGTTGGCCTGCGTTAACGCTGCATCCTACCCCCCCTCCCCCTATTCAAATTGCTAGAAACCTGCTCTTCGTAGGTCCCCTTGTAGGCGTCAAGCCGCTTCAGCATGTCCTCATGCTCGCCATCAAACTCGGCGATCTTCTTGCGGTAGTACTCGAGCAGCTCGCGGGACGGACGCAGGAACGCCAGCCGCTCGTTGATTGGAGGAATGGGCGGCGACTCGCGCAAACTGCCCGCACTGCGCCATCCGCCTGCCGCCGGGGACCTGTTTGCAAGAGTGTGGGCCATGGAAATGGGCAAGCAGCCTGCCAGCATGACTCAATTCCAGGTGGGAGATACAGCCCCAAGTCCTTGCTTTGCAGTTCATAACTTTTACCAAGCGGTACCGCGATATGGCAATACTATGATATATAATATAAGGTTCAAAATATTCCAAATGTAAAATATACAGCACAGGTACAGTGTATGAGCTGTTGTGGGTTGTGTTATCTCCAAGGGATGGCAGTGTAATATTCACTGTTGAATTGTACTATTCTCCAACTGCTACGCTACCCGCCTTCACCAAGCTGCACAGACAAGCGTGAAGAATGGGTAAATAACCATGATGGCCTGCACATGTACAATATACCTTGATAGTAAGTCTCTCAAGTGGACTGTTGACTGCATGAAAAATATTATTTTGGACACAGGCACATACCTGTCTAAACTGATTCACTAAATGTGGGCTGTAAACTTTTTGGAAGTGACACATATTACTTATAATTAGAAGAAGAATAAAAAGACATCAATATTACAATTCTCTTCACAATTTACAATGTAACTTTTACCATATTTTATAATCATAACTCACTGGGAGTCAGTCCCATTCATTGGTCATTAATTGATGAAGAACATTTTTACAAGTACCAGCTGTTCATTAATCCAAAGGCTCTCATTTGCAAGTGGGAGGAGCCCTTACAGTGTGTAATGGGTTTACCATAGTCCGAATTAGAACAGTAATTCTAATTTATCTGGTTTACCTTTATTAATGAGGTTAAAGCTTAAGACAAATTGAACACATGCAATATTTACCACTTGGTAGCCTTGTCTGGGGAAGACCTCACCCTACTTGAACTTGCCGAAGCCATTCTGTAATTCACAGAGCAAAAACATGTTGACATTATGCGATTCAATATTAACCATAAATCTTAGCACCTAAGTTATTGCACATGTAAAGCCAGCCACAAGGGAAAGATGTACAATTAAATAGTTCAGGGACCATGGAACAAATATACACTGCAACTTAAAGTGCCAAAAACCATCAGAGCCCTCAGAGCTCATTTGCGTATGCACACAGCAGTGACGCTTATAAGCAGTGCACGTTCCGTAGCATAGATGGGCATGCTCAGTTCTCAAGGGCAGTCGGAGGTGGCCAGGTGGCACAGGAAGCTAAGACAAGCCGGTATTGCGGAGATCTTGGATTTTAAACCAAGGCCGCCACTTGTGAGCAAACCGACTTACTCAAAATGTATCCTGTAGTCGGCCCTGTCACCAATGAGGCCACAGAAAACCCATCGTATTAAATGTTTTTTTTCACGTTTGGCAAATATATAAAAATTAAATATATGTTTGATTGACATGTGATACAGAAGCTTTGCTCGGCATACAAAAGGCATGCTTTTAGTGTCAATAAACAGGCATATTAAAGTGATCTCAGTAGTTCTGTGGCACCTCTTTCGGGGTTATTTTTTGACAGATTGATGCAATGCTCGCTCCAGAGTTCCGAATGTAAAGTTTCGTCTCATGGAACGATGCCAAGATCACAATAATATAATTGAAAAGGAATGTGGGAGACAAAGTCTTGATCAACCAATTTTCCCCATGAAAATCTGCATATGCATATAACATCGCATGGATATACATTAAGAAAACTGTGTTCAGATAAGGTCTGTTCGAAGTAAATTCTAAATAAATATACATACTACTTGATTAGCAGTTTATGTTCTGAAAACCAGTTAAAAGAATACAAGTGCAGTCGTAATAAGCCACTGCATTTAAGACACAAGTGAAGAACATTTGTTCAAATATTAAATGCAGTGATCATTAAATTGCAATTATCTACGCAGCAAAGGCCTTTTTGAGCTGTACGCCAAAAGGCGTACAGCTCAAAGACAATGTACTATCAAAGTAATGAGGGCTTGGGGTGAGCATCTACATCATTATACCTCCTTTGCCAGTACCTTTTTGGCATCATCTGGTTGAGCACCAATTGGATCGAGGCTCAAAAGAAAGCCGTCCCTTGGTGTGGACCAATCAGTTTCAAGGACAATGCATATATTATCAAAGTATGTTTTTTGTTTGCATTTTGACTGCAGGTATTGTGGTTAATGGAGACATGAATCCTTGTAAAAAGGTTTCAGTTTTGTTGCCAGAAAAAAGGGGAAAAACTCTATTATTATATTTTGGTACTGGCAAAGGAGGTCTAATGAAAGTAGTTGTACTTACGTGCCCGTGCTTAATTTGTGTTTCGACGATTTACCTTCTAAAAAAATCTGGCATGTTTTTCAGTTTCATTTATTTGGAATAACCCTGTGATCCATTCGACTCACAGGTGAAGAAACATTGATCAAAGTGTAGTGACGTATATTGGGTCACTATGGCGTTTAGCGCCAGCTACCGAGAGAAGAGTGCAACTGTGCGTGTTAGAGCCTCTCTTTGGCATCAGAGTATGTATGGCATGGAAAGGGGCCCTAGGGGGCATGGTTCTGGTGACAGTCAGAGAGAGGGCAGTTGAGGACGTGACAGTCTCGGTGAACCCAAGAAGGCACGTGACCAGAACAGAATGAGGGGGGCTAAAAGGTGGCGAGAGGGACATGTGATGTATCGCCCAGAACCTTTTAGTAGGATCTAGAAGGGGGCGTGGCCGAGGGCGAAGCAAGGCCATGCTCAAGAGCAAAAAAGGTAGGTCCCGAGAGCACATCGAGGCTGTCTGTTGGAATGAAACCCGTCGGTGCTACGTCTCTTCGATCCTCAGTCTTTACGCTCAGCAACGTGGATCAGGCAGTGTGTTACTGACTGACCCGGTTATGTAGTTACCCCGTTGTGGTCTAGTGAAATGTACACTGGTTATGTCGTTACACTGTTGGGGAGAATAAAGGTGTTGCCTCCAAGCACAAGTGTATGCCTCCGTGGAACCTACTACACAAGTACTAACAATGCTCGTGACGTAACGAACCCAGATCCACTCAATGTGATTAGGTCATAGCTTTCGGTCCCGTTGTCATGATATAAGTATCGCTAACGTTAACGCTTTTGGCAGAATTAACTGGTGGACAGCCACATTATTTATTCCCTTGTGGCACACTTGGAATTAGCAAACTTTATAAAATCGAAACCATCTGGAAGTGGATAGACAATGGCTGTTGCTGTTCCATTTGTAGTGAGTTCAACTGAGTCGCAGACGTGCTCTTTGGAGGCGACACATTTATTTATACCAACACTAAGGGGTAACTGCCCCTTTACCAGATAGCAACCTATGGTGGTGGACCACCAGGCTAACTACACTAATTACACTGGGAGTAGCTACAACGGACAGGACCCCAGCTTGGGTCCAGGTCCACGTGTTGGTGACTCTTCTCGAACGTAGATTCTTCAGGATAACCACAGCAGCCGGTCCCTCTCGGGGACCCGGCTTATATCCTCCGTGGTGTGGCTGGCTCTGCCCTTAGCCACGACCACCTTCGAGAACCCTCGAGCAGGATCTCGACCCTGACACGTCACCACCCCTAGCCTCCACTATCTGTAGACTTTACCGGTCACGTGTCCTTCGGGGTCAACCAGAGTGCCATGGCCCTTAGTAACCCCACTCCCATTGGCGGCACTCTCACACCCTATCCTGTATGGGTCGGCACTGCCATTCAATGCTCACCGAGCCCCTCTAGGGCCGGTACTGCACCCACATGTCCGTGGTGCCCGCGATGTCAATACATCGCACGCCGTGCCTCTCTCGGGCCGGCATTACACAGTGATATGTCACGACACATTTAATACAACTAAATTATCACCTCTGCTGTGGCCGACTGACCACAGCGTAAATCCCGAATGCATTCCACACTAAGCATACATACGTATTCATCTCGCAGCGAATAGAGAATGACTGATGCTGATGGTAATCGTGATGAATTGTATAAAATTATCGTACAGTATTTATCTCCGCTGTGGCCGACTTAACACGTTAATTCTATATGCATTCAACACCTGACATAACCACTCAACAGTCCGATGATTAATTGTATCACGTTACTCGACTCACCTCTCCTTTAGTTGAGTGACCACCACCGTTATTCTCTTAAGACACAAGTGGCATTAACGTGCAGATAAAACACTTAACCCACCAGACGGTCGACCGAGCATTGATCATCGTTGCTGCTGCTAATGGTGGTGACGATGACGATGTGAAGTACATCCACACAACTCACCTCTGCTGCCGGCGGATGGCCGATCACCGCGTTACGACTGCGACCGTGGGCGCGAAGAAATCCCGCCACAATTGGCGCCTTAACGAGCTCCGGGCGTGTTTGCGTTACAACTATTTCGGCGGCTAAATTTGTCTTTCACTCTTTCAAAACGAAACGTTCAGTGGCTAATGCAGATCTCGAAGCGGCCCCCTTCCCTCCCCTCCAATGAAGGTAAACCTCAACAGAGCGATTGGCAATTAACGCTAATTAATCGTCGGGACACGCGTGCGAGACAACGCGCGGCCTCCACCACCAGCTGTTAACGTCGGCGCCCTATTTTAAAATAACCACACAACACAAACACGGAGTCTCCTGACGCGACGACGTTGTTGGCCGTTGCGTGGCGGCCATTTTACGTAGGGATAGATCCCATTGGTTTGTATTGAGAGTCGCAGCCCTCCTACACCCCCCAACCAACCGTCGCCTACCCACTCACGTCGATGATGTTTAACCTGCAGACTTCTCCCTTACCCAAGATGGCCACCGTAGGCTCCCCCTTTTGTTTGTCGCCAGAAACGTCGGTCGTTTTCGATCGGCGGCGTCCAATCGGTACATTTGTGTTGTTTTTCAGTGGGGCGAGAACGCTACGGACTGCCGCGGAGGGTCAAAATTCCGCGTTTCGACCTTGGCTTTAGACAATTTATACCTTTTGCCAAGTTGTCCATGGGACGGGTCAATATTTTCTGAAATTGTGACGAAATAATAAAGGCGATGTCATATCAAATACGCGCCCACACCAAAATGCTGCATTGTCCCCCGATCCCACCGGCAACATTTTTGTTCGTTAAAAATCGTGGACATGGCACGATGCTATTTTATGTCATTTACGTTTATCCACAAAAGGTGGCCCCCGGGTCGGTCATTTTGCTGTCCCCTGCAAACTCGGAAACTTGCCAACACGCGTTCGCCCCACGAAATTTCCACATCGGCCTCGCGATGGCCGTGGAATGGGCTCATGAAAACCCACAAATCGAATGCATAAACGTGATTTTAATTTGTATTTATGCGCCGAATGGGTCACGAGTGCACGACCATTTTCGGGATATTGTCATTTGGTGGCCATTGTTCAGTCGCGTCTTGAAATTTCCATCGGCACTTGCCACAAAGGTCGGAAAAATATAATTTTAAGAGGAAAAAATTCAACAAGCGACGGTTGTAAGCGGATTTACTAAAAAAAAAGATTTAAAAAATGCCAGGAGGAACCGAAAAGGTGTATTTGGTCCCCTCGGTTGGAGATGGGTGGCTCAAGATGTATTCATACGCCCACACTGAAACCTCGATTTTTTTTCTGCACACCCAAACACGCCAACACAACCGCACCAAAAAATAAATGCAATGCATAAAACCCAAACTGCGACCTTGCCTCGGCGGTTATCGCTCTAAATCGGGTGGCAAGCCGCTCGCATCGGGCGAGGACTTATTTCTTTAAAAAAAAAGCTTGAAGGGGACACGCGTTCAATTTCGTAGAGCCAATAAGCGGCGCCGGTCGATTGCGTCCAATAGAGGGCGAGCATTACATCACGCGGTGGAAGCGCTATCCAATAAGAAACCAGCGCTGAGCCGGTGCGGGCTGGGATTAACAAAAGGCCGGCGCGGAGGGACACGCGCACATCGTCCACGAGTGCGCGATGAGGCCGTGGTTGGGGAAGGCGATTTAAATGACTGTGGCCACGCTGGACGGCCGCGCTTCTTTGTTTGTGGGACAATTTTTTTGAGATCAAATACCATTTGTAAAGAAAAAGTAAAGTAGTAGAGGACTTAAAAAACCAAGGGGCACCATAATAAACCATAAAACATCTAAAGCAATGGGCAGCGGCGGCGGAGAGGAGTTCGTGCCACCGCCGGAGTGCCCAGTTTTCCAACCGACGTGGGAGGAATTCGGGGACCCGCTGGCTTACATAGCAAAGATTCGCCCCATTGGCGAGAAGACGGGCATCTGTAAGATACGGCCGCCTCCGGTTGGTGCCCTCTACCCATCCACGTATTTTCTACATCTGTGTGTCTTCTATTAATCTCACGGAAACCGAGAGAAAACCAACCAAGCCCAGAGAAAAGACCACAAGTTTAAAGTCGGCTGGCTGTTGTGTGTCGTTTTGTTGGTTGGGTTTGGATTTTTTGCGTCGCCCTCTGCTTTGAGATGTTGTCGGCCGTGGCTCCGGGTTTTTTTGCGACTTTGTGGGATTTGTTTATTTTAATGGGGGGGCCAATATGCCGCCCTCCACCCCAAAAATCATTAAGCGCGAGTGGCGATTTTCAGGCTTATTTTTGGCTCTTTAACTCTCAACATGGCGGGCGGGCGTGCGGACACTGGCACTTGGGGTCGCTGCTTGTTTGTGGTGGTGGCGTCTCGTTCGCATGATGGGCCACTTTCTGAGCGAAGTTTTCGCAAACTTTTGATGGTATTTTACCCGGGGAGAGGCGCTTTTTCTAAAATCCCACCCGGGGTCGCTCGGCGGCTCGGCGTTTAACTTTAAAAGCCACTTTTTGTGCGGCGTTGGGAGCCAGGCGAGCAGAGACAGCAATTTGCACAGGGAAGTTTATGGCAATGGTGGGGTTCGTTTGGTGAGGGTCATTACATCACTACCCGAGCAGTTTTCGACGCGAAATATACAGATGCGATCCAGTGGGATTCTCGCTTGGGGTGGTGGTGGATGATTTTGTGGCCGAAAGACGTAAATTTTCACGCCGAGAGGCCAAGTAATAGCGCACGCGCAAAATGAGACTGGGGAAAAAAATAGGGCCATTACTGCGGGGCGGACATACACGTAGGCTTATTGTCACATCCGTGACGGCGCTAGTCTTAATGAAATTATATCAACCCTGTCATTTTTATGAACTTGTTTGTGTTTTTAAGCTGTATTTTGCACCGCAAAAAGCCAGCCGCTTAGGTTTTTAAGGTAAAATTGCGCTGTATTGTGGCAGTATTTGGCTGTGCCAAAACGGAACAAAAGAAACAAAATATGTGGCACTTATGAGACAACTGTTGAGCGTAACCGTGGATTAATACTGCGACTATAATTTGATGTAAATGTGCTCGCCAAAGGTCATTTAAAACTATAGTGTAAAGGATAGCATCTTGGCTTGCTCTTTGGCCAAACTACGTGTTGGTGTTTTTCCTTTTCCCCTGCCCACGTAATATTGTTTCTATGTCAGCTGTACAATCTACATTTTATTCTTAAAGCCATTGTATTTACGAGGTGGTTTTCTAAGAATCGAAAATCGAGGTATGATTTGATCATTATTATTACTTTAATGTTTATGTGATGCAATTATTTAATAGTGAGCTTTTTTTGTTACAAGCTGATCTTTTTAAAATAACGTGTAGACACTTTCTTAGATATTTTTATAGTTACAGCTTAAATTCTAGAGAAATGTGGATTGATTGAACGCCCCTTTTTTAGGTGGCATTTTTGCTTAACGTGGCTTATTGTGAGCCCTTTGCTGGCCAGCTGCTCGTGGAACAAAATGGCAGACATTTTGTTGGGTGTTGACGTACATATAGGGAGTATATATGAAGACAAGGGACAAAAAAGCCATCTTGGTGGCTCAGACACCTATATATCATGTAAATCTAGACATTTCATAAGTGCTTATGGTAATTATTTTATTCTTTAAGCCAAACTTCTCAACAAAAACTATAGCACAGTTAAACAGTAGTTTTGACACATGGGCTGGGTTGCATATGTCATGAGTGCAGATCAATTTCATTTCTAAATAAAACAAATAGTGGTTGGTTATTCTTGCATTATGGTATTTCTGCATGTCCTATTGGTGTTTCCTTCAGTAAAAGTTGACAAACAACATGGATACTTTGTATGTCAACAACTCCATTATTTTCTCCATTGTAAATAATATGGTGCAGTATTGCATGATAACATATCAATAAAAATGCACTTTGCAGAGTAACTTAAATTATATATTTGGCAGACTAATAACAGTAATTACTCATTTGTTCAAAAGCTACAGTATATAGAATTGAAGCTGTGCATTGGACATTTAAATACAATGCTTAAAGGCCCAAAATTTCCACTTGCTGTACGAATGAGTTACTGCAGGATTACCTCTTACTCGCCGAATTCAGTAAACAGATATGCAGTACTTTACACTGAATACAGTACTCAGGGAATTAGGCCCAGGAAGAAGACAATAATATTAATACACTAAATGTAATAATTACAATACAATTCGAACAAAATAGTCAAATGCCCAGGCTCCAATTTATACAAAATGGTCAAATAAGCCAGGGATTATTATTTTAACGCTGTCCAGCATCTGCCCATCCTAAGCGTCGTGAACACTGAACCTCAGCCGCTTTTCGGCAGGGCCTTTGTTACTGTTAACGTGGCCTGGCTTGTCCACCTTACTGGGAGAAGAGTAGAGGTGGAACAACATTAGAATATGATGGTTACGCATGTTCAATTATGGCATGGCAATTACCATGCAAATGTATTATCACCTACCGTTTACCACCATACGCCAAATTAGTCATTACATTTTTTTTATCACAGTGTGGGGCTGTAAGTGGCTTCGACTGAGTAACATGAATACAACTTGAGCAGGGAAAATTAAGTCACGTGTACCACGCTTTGTTTTCAATTGCATGTCACCTTTGAAACGGGAAAAACAATGTTAACGCTACCCACGACGGCTTTGAATGGAGGTGTACTTCTCAGTGCCTCCAGTGCCTCGTGGCCCATTGTTAGTGACCATGGGTGGACTTTCGTGAAAAGAGTTGTCTAATCAGGAACAGATGTTTGGCACTAATTGGTTCTTGCCTGACATTACGTTGTTGTACCGTTTGAGTACTGTTGTCATCAGGACTCATAATTTCAAGAGCCACATAACAAAGATTGCTTATACTACAATATGGGCAGGATTTTTTGTCAATATAATCATGATACAGCTATAAATAGGCTACAGTGCAGGTACAAAAACACATTTTTTTGTTAAACCCGGTTAAATACCATTGCTTTTTTGCAAGTTACAACAACATGATTTAACCTGACCAAGAGTTGTATTAACAACCTTTCATATTGGGGTGACATTTTGCATTTATGATATTCTAGAGTGCAGATGTTACATGTTTTTTCTTAATATTCGTTGTAGTTATGGCTTATGTGCACATTATTTTTCTTATCGAGTCTTTTTGTGTTCAGGGGTTTCTCATGGCTTATTTTAGAACCAAAATTGGCATACAAATTTAACGCCATTGGTACGTAAACATTGTACCTTTAGTGGTTCCAGGAATATTGTCTTAATAGCTCTAGTATTTTTCAAGAAAGTAACCTATATTGGTGTTTAAATGCATAGTGTATGTGACATGTTTATCTTCCCAAAATAATAAAAACTTGTTTATGTTTTCCAGGAGTGGCAGCCTCCGTTTGCTGTGGATGTTGATAATTTTCGTTTCACGCCAAGAATACAGAGATTGAATGAACTAGAGGTAAGCAAAATGGATACATCGACAAAATTAACCATTGTTTTGTTCCACTTTAGTGTAATGATCGTAAATAAACTTTGGCTGCCTGATGTGTCTTAATAGTCTGTATAACAATTCATAATAGTTCATACTTAATTCTATGATGTACAAAGACACCGAGCATGTCTGACTGTGCTCTCTCATTTCTAGCTGTAATTCCATTTTGTGTCCATGAAAATGGGCATCTCTTCTCCAAAGCCTCAATACAATGTTGTGTAATTGTGGCCGCGATTAATATATTTTATTTGTGGGTAGCCCTCAGTGTCACATTGACAGATGTTTGGCACAAGCCTTCATTTTCAGTGCAGCTTTAATGCATATTTTTCTATTGTTGCTCAAGCACTGGACTGATGTTCGGATTTCCAATCTGTTTTCCTCTTGTGTCTCTGCTCAAGGCCCAAACGAGAGTGAAGCTAAACTTTCTGGATCAGATAGCAAAATTCTGGGAGCTGCAAGGTTCTACTTTGAAGATTCCCATTTTGGAGCGAAAGCTGTTGGACCTCTACATGCTGAGCAAGGTGTTGTGGACAGACTCTTTTTTATTTCATACTCTTAGCCCGCATTCTTGACGGTTGTTCATATTGTTAAGTTTGTATAAAAAAATATGCCGATGTCTCCATTGCCAACGAGCGCAAATCGGTGGAAGGCTTTGTTTTAACCAGTTGTGTCAAGCTGCGTATTGAGGTCCTCGTGTTTTCAAGGGCATGAGGTGACAAATGCAGCTTGTGTGTAGGGTATTTCACGTTCATTTCCACAAACACTATGTTATTTTGACTTGACAAATTGCGATAATGCTGATCATAACTGCAGATGTTTTTGTTAAATCTATTTTTATTTTATATTGGCAAAAGAATCGGATGTGGTGGCCACATTTTACTTTTTAGATAATATAAAAATCGGTGCCTATTTATATAGGCTCAATATATTTTACCGTTCCTGCTTTTAAGCATAAATATTTATTTGCATGCAAGTGCTCTGCCGGTTTGTAGGTCATCAATATATTAAAGGCGTTGAAACAGAGCAGTTGATAAGGTTCCTTCAAACATTGTATTCATGAAATATGAAGTCTGTTTTCAATATAAATTACCTAATTCGCAATGCAGTTCAGTACATCATGATGGTGATGCTGCTGTTAGGAATATTATTTACATTTTCATGTCGCTGATAGACATTGAATTAAGTGTGTTTTTCCTTGTGACTATGGAATATATCTCAGTTTAATGTTGGCTTATCGGTATTAAATTTCATTGAAGATGTGACTTGATAGAATTGAGCAGAACTGCATGACACAATGTTTTGAACAAAATGTGCTGATCTTCTGCATATTGCATACACTGTATTTTTGTTCGTGTAAATTGAGTTTTGGCAAAGCACAAGGCTAGAAAGTGGGTGTCTTCTTCCCAGTCATGTGCACCAGCGCAAATAATAAAATATGCTGTCAATTGTCTCCCACGAAATATGATACTTAAGGCTTGAGTCACAAATTACTGGTATGATTTTTTGCCTCGGTCAAACTGCCAAGGGTTAAAAAGCATCAAGTGCAGATGCTGAAGTTGGTGACATGTTTGGCATCGTTTTCTGCTGCAGGTGGTGGCAGAGGAGGGAGGCTTTGAGATTGTGTGCAAAGACAGGAAATGGTCACGCGTGGCAGCAAAGATGGGATACATGACGGGAAAGGCTGTGGGCTCACTGCTTCGTGTGCACTACGAGCGAATCCTCTACCCCCACAACCTTTTCCAATCTGGCGTGAGCCTCTCGGTAAGACTGCACCCCAACACTTCACTCCGCCATTGTTTTATCCAACGACTTTACGAGAATGCTGTATACAAATTATGACTACAATCGACACTTTACACTGCCATTATTTTATACAATTACTGTATGCTGCCCATACTAAAGCTTTGTCAAAACATTTTTTTTATGACAAATTATAACGCAGAGGTTGCATTGTCTCGATTTCATAAGAGTTTCAGCTGCACTGTTCTCTTGCTGGATTGTGGCTTTTATAACTACTGCCAGTTGAATGGGTTCTCCTGTTCTTCAAATCTTGTTTAATATTCGATTATTGATATAAATCCCACAATAGACTTATCAGTGGTGGAAAATTTGTTCTGGTCTAAAAATAAAATGTGGCAGTTTTTCCCTCGGATAAAATAAAAACATTATTTTTTAACCCGGGAAATCAGATTAGTGTGTTTACATTAAGTAAGCATGCCCGTGGTTGGAGTTTCATACAACATTAAAGGTTTTGCTCGCTGGATTCCTGGTTGGCTGACATGCAAGTGCTTCTGCGTGGTAGTGACGTCATAGCGCACATCTGCGTGGTAGTGACGTCATAGCGCACATCTGCGCGATGACACGTTGAGCCGGATTCGTGCATGCTGATGGTCAAGCCTTCCCTCCCTCTGTCGTCCCAGCCGTGTATCCCATGCAATTACGGTAGAAGGGGGTGAGGAAGGCAGATATAGGAGGGAGGAAGAGACGGGGGCAGGGAGAGAGTGAAAGGGCGTCTAATGGAAATGAGAGAGAGCCAAATGGAAAGAGGAGGTGAAAACGATGAGCAGTGGGAGGGAGGATTAGGGAGAGGCAAGAGATTTAAACGAGAAAGGGAGAGGTCGAAATTTGGAGAGCGAGGATGAGAGAAGCAATGAGAGATAGGGGTGAGTGGAGGGAAGTGTATGGGATAAAGTGGAGGGAGGAAAGGAATTTAGAGGGAGGGAGATGTAGGAGAGGCAACAGAGGGATAACGAAACAGACAAAGTGAGAAATAGAGATTATTGGGAAATACAATACAGAAAAGGCAATTGAAAGGTGGAGAGACTAGGCTCTCTATAAGATTATATTTTTTCAGGGCTCTAAATACCATTAAAAGTTTGGCTGGCTGGCTGTGAGGGATGGATGGATGGTCACGTCCAAAGGATGTGCAGGTTTCTAGTTTGCCACTAAATTTGTATTCCAATAACTTGGTGTAAACAACTAGCCACTCCCACATTCCTGACAATGAAAGCCGTGCAGCTACAGTGTGTAGTTATGAAAATGACAATATTATTTACAGTCGGTTAAAAAAACTGCACACCTTTTTATTGAGTTTGCTTTTCTTTTATATAATTTGATGAAACTGACTCTGTATGGGGATTTATGGTTCAAAATGTATTAACGTATTTCAAGAAATTCTATGAAAATATTGAAATCCGGTAGCTGCAAACTGCCAATCAAAACCATGTTTACAAACCCCAATGGCAGGATTTACAGGTAAATTTGAGGCCTTAATGCTGAATGTGTATGGTACACAATTGGGACATCAGACAAGAGTAACAGCCTATTACTTATCCTGTGCAGCTGAGGCAGTTCTTTTGACTTAAGTCTGCTGCAGTGCAATTAATATATGAAGCTGGGTTAGGTGCAGCATGGTGTAATTGTGTTTTGCTTTGACTTTCAAACCAGACAATAGCACAGAGCCTCAATCAGAAAACACCAATCGCTCAGGCTGTTGCAGAATTCAATTACAATGAGGTATGTTTTAAGCATTGTTTCCCGCTTTAATGGAAAAAAAGTATAATTTCCTTTTTGTGTCGCTGTTTTATTGTGTCTGAACATTTCCCTCAGCATCCTTTCCTTTGTATCTTATTACACAAATGTCTTGTGACTAATTTTTATAAGTAAAGTTAGCCCAGTGTTGGATGTTTATTGATGCATTTTTTTCTGTAGCCTACATCTCCCTCCCTAATGTGTGAACTAAAAAGGCCACTTTCCCATTGAAAGAGTCCTCATACTACCATACATACCCCATTCTTTATGCTTGCGATGGTATTCACTTGGACAAATTAAATATTGTTCAAGCAATCGTAACTTTATTCCCCGTTTCTGAAACCCAAGTCCTCATGACCACTGAGAGTGCGAAACATTTAGTGGCTTAATTTGCATATTCACGCAAACTTTGGTAAACCTGGAAAGGCGCACTGTGGAGGGTCAGAAGGACGGACGTTTGAGAACCACTGCCAAATATTCACATCCACATGCAATGTAGTTGAACCCTGCTTGCTTTCCCCTACCTGGACATCTTTGACATTACTGGAAAATGCTCTAAATAAATAAAAAATATTCACGATATGGTGATGTGGCATTGGCATCGGTGCACAAGCACATAACGAACTCGACGTATTTGTCAATAACACTGCCGTAAAAGGAAAACGTCAAAAATATATGATTAGGCATCGTTTCTGGCAATGACCTTTCATAGTACGTTTCTCTTTGGAGCGTTTTTATCATGCTCTGTGAAGGGCCCATTGGCTGAAACATCGCCTTATGAAATGTTTTTCCTTTTCAGGCATTGTTATTGGCGAATTAGTTTTACATAAATAGTGACATTTTTAACAATTTGTCGGTCCTGAAAATAACTTCTTGGATTCATTGAATTGCATGTGATCTGCATTGCTAATTATTGCGTTTGGCATGTATGAGCTTTTCATGAAAGATTTAGCATTCTTTTAACAGATGGATTAAAAAATCTTGATACTGTATGTGACTTGGCATTCATTTTTCTTGTTTATTGGTTTGTCCTGATATCAGTTACAAAGTGGCACATTATTCACGTCCAAGTGTTTAGAATTTGTTGACCACGTATGCATATTAGTATTCCCGCCATGTGCTGATTTGATACGCCTCGGCCTATTCCAGTGCATTGCGAAGCCAGAGTATGAGCCGGATGAGAAAGACCAAGAATATAAACCACACAGCATCCCCCTGAGGCAGTCGTTGCAACATGGAAAGATGAACTGTGCCGGGCGACGTGCAAACCGCATGAAAACAGAGGTGAGAACATATACTTGCACACACTGGTCAGCATTTCATAGGTCAAAGTAAATACAATTAATTCTAGCCAGTTTCAATCCACCAATGGATGAAGCCTCATGCCTTGTGGGAATCGAACTCCGGTTCTGGACTTCATAGCACAGCGCGATTACCACTCTCTATCATCATTCCACCCCATTTGATTTCTTACAACCTCTGTTCTTAATCTTCCCACGGTTTTGGGGTGCATGCCTGTAATCAAACACTTGGGAAGCAAGGTTTAGTATATCATGCCATTTTGTGAAACTGCCAAATCTGCTTGGCTACAAGGTGGCCAGAAGATGGAAATGCAGCATAAGGGTTCTTGGATCAATCTTTGTTTGTCTGGGAGTTCTATCCCCTTGTAAACACGTGTTTTCTTCTGGTGCACTGGTTTATTTCTACATGGAAAACACTCATTCAGTGAAATGGGCTAAACATTCCAAATGCAAGATCCTCATTAAATATATTGATACTCATTCGAAGATCTCTTCATTTGCAATATTGTGATTTTTTTTTTCTGGGAATGTGAAACTGCAGCCCGATCCGATTGACGCTGACGTGAGCTCCAATTCGGAGCTGCGGAAACTTCAAATCTTTGGGGCAGGTCCCAAAATGGCAGGCCTGGGCCTGTTAACTGGAAAAGATCGAAATGGAAAGGAAAGTGGTAAGTTTAGCAACCTGTATAAATATATTTTTTTAATGTTATAGTGGTACAGCAGAATTTGTTTATTTGTGCAGTATTAATCAAGTTCTTGTAAACGTTTAACATCTATTGCAAAGTGGTTCACTTTGTTCATTTGTTCAGGTTTGCATGCCCATTTCTTGTTGTACTCGGTGACCCCAAATATGCTGTTTCTTGTAATTTGGCAGAAGGTGGAGAGCGAGGCCTGGATGATGTGAAAGCTCTACCTTCCATGGACATCCAGTGTCCTGAACCTGAACCTGAACCACAGACTGCCATCATCCCAGAAAAGGTGCCTTCTATGAAGGATTCCAAAATGGAGCTCAAGCCAGTGCAGCTTAAAGAAGCTGATATAATTGCGAATGTAAGCATCGCAAAGCTTATTAAGACTTAATAAATATTGAGCACAAACGTAAATAAACAGGTCTTCACTTACACCAAAAAGCTAGTGCCGAGCGCAAACAGAAGCCGAATGTAAATGTTTTGAGTGTTAAATGTTTCCCCATCGTGTTTTGACTGCCAGGCTGCAGTGCACACAGCCTATGCAGTCTTCATCAGGGCTTCTCAAGTGCATACCCAGTGCCCAGACTTATTTTAAAGATGTTGGTGGCCGATCATAATGAGCCACAATCATGTGGCTGGACACACCGGCAATTCATCTTATTGCGTGGCTCTTCAGATGAAGACTTAAGAACACTGGGAGGAACCAGAAATAAAGCTAGTCCTCGTCAAAGCATGTTATTCAAAAGTTTTTTTTTATTTCTGATTTAATACCACGGTTTGTAATGGTAGTTGTTACTTTGTAATGCAATTAAATCATGTGTTTTATTTTAGTTTATTCATCGTAGAATAGGTGTGTGGTTGATGACATTTTTGTCCACTATTGAATGACATTAAAGTGTAACTAACTAAGATAGTGTCTCGTGTTCCATCAGTCATTTGTTGTGTCCTGCAGTCGCATAATTAGTATGTCAGTTAGGGTGGAAACATGCTGGAAAAAACTTTTAATGTCTGAGATTTTGCATCTGCTTGTGCTCAGAAGTAGCTTTTATTTATTTTTTAATCTGACACTATTCTCAGATCTTTCTTTGTGAATTATTTTGAAGTGTTCTGTAAAATAGGGGAATGATGAAGGGGGATTTTGATTAGAATTAATGCTTACTTTTCCCTTGTCTAACCAGTCAGGCTTGAACTTTTTGAATGTATTATTGGGTGATTTGATCTTAACTATTTTTGATAACTTCGTACAAAACCATTAGCTGCCACACCTGGCAGTGGCATGCTTAAAAAGCCCCTACTATTCATCGGGCATTATTTACGTTTAATGTGACCCATGCTGTCTAAACTGTTGGTTGGTTACATTTGTAAATAATGGAGCCCAAAAGATAATTTTCTTGGTCTTATTCAACGATGCTTTAACGCCACATGAATAGACCATAAGTGATTCATTTCTGTTATGCTTAAAATTATCTGGTAGAGTTTAAAGGCTTACAGGTGCTCAAAAGTTTCCGAGGATGTTTCCCCCCCTCTGATTTTTACTACTTTCTGCGCATGAAGGTCGACCTGTACGAATGCCTGGTGTGCGGGCGAGGGGACGATGAAGCTAAACTGCTCCTGTGCGATGGCTGTGACGACAGCTACCACACCTTCTGCCTCATTCCACCCCTGCAGGATGTCCCTAAGGGTGACTGGAGGTGCCCTAAGTGTGTTGCTCAGGTAAATAAACATTTCCACAAGCACTTGATCCTACGAATGTTGGTCATGCACACTTAGGGCCAGAGTATAAAACAACTTGCAACTTTATCGAAATGGTGTAAGTCCGGTTTAAGATCAGACTTGTCATAGCTTCGAGTAGATAAGGGGGTAACGACATTAAGTATTTTCAAAGTTAGGTAAAATCTTACGAGTGGTTCTGACCACTCGTAAGTCAATTTTAACTGATGATAAAATAACAATTATTGATAAAATTATATTATTAATAACATTAAGTAATCTCAACAACCTAAACATAATTTAACTCCGCCACTGACTGGCTGAAGTGTGTGGAGTGATAACGTCATGCCGGCCATGTTGCATGGGTGATGTCATGCCGGGCTATGTTGCATGGGGTTGTCTTCCTGGCAGGTGATGGGCTGGTGCAGTGGGAGTGATGGCATAATCCCTAGCAACAGCTCTTACGTGAGTGAGCGGAGCGATCTCACAATGACACCCGTAATAACTTGGGCTTACGATCCATATTCGGCTATAACATTAGTGATCATACTACAATTGAAGCCTGCCGGACTTATGACAAATCTTAAGAAGATTTTTGAACTCGGAGCTCCTGTTGTGTTTTGCGCAGAGGATGACATTAGTTGATATTTGTGGATTGATGGCACAATGTCTTTGGGAGAAGGCAAATAAACACATCTGTGTGGTGTTATCTATACATTATTTTTAAACCCACTATCAGGTATATATAACGCTTTAAGTAATTTAAAAATAAGTTTACATTTGTGCACCATAAAGTGCATCCCTCAAGTTCTGATGTCCTAAGAGTTGCACAATATATACAAATGTGTTTACAAACAATCATTTGTCATTTAGAAATGGATCTAGACAAAAAATATTCATTTAAGCATAGATATATAAGTTTGAAAAATTGTTGGATGCCCAGTCTCACGGAATAATGTTACTGTGCTTGGTTTGTTTTTGCTTCAAAAACCTCTTTTTTGTTTTGTAGGAATGTAGCAAACCTCAGGAGGCATTTGGATTTGAACAGGCAAAGAGGGTGTACACCTTGCGCAGTTTCGGAGAGATGGCGGATGTATTTAAATCGGACTACTTCAACATGCCTGTTCACGTAAGCTCGAGCTTTTAAATGCCTTAAATTGCATCTAATTTTGTTTTATTGGAGTCGAACAGCAAGTTGGGTAATTGGTTCAATTATTTTCAAAGCAGGCTGTCTGGTTGGATGTGCTTGTTGTCGCCAGATGGTGCCTACCGAACTTGTGGAGAAAGAGTTCTGGAGGCTGGTCAGCTGCATTGAGGAGGACGTGAGTGTGGAGTATGGGGCCGACGTGCAGGCCAAGGAGTACGGCAGCGGTTTTCCTGTTAAGAATGGGAAAAAGAAATTATCCAAGGAGGAGGAGGTATGTGTATAAATTTACTACTATAATGAGCCAAGAATGTCTGTCCCGCGCGTGACGTCATTCCACATGGGGGGGGGCGGGGCACCTCCTGCCCCCTCCTCAACGTCCACTTATAACCCTCACTGCAAAGGCAGAACCCTCATGTCACGTGATCTCCATAACGCTATTGAGACATCAAAGTAAAAAGGACGTCATGATGATCAAGGGATGATACCATATAATAATAATAATAGGGTTTTTCCCCTTTTTTCTGTAAACAAAACTAAAACCTTTTTACGAGGATTCATTGTCTGCACTAACCACAATACCTGCAATCAAAATGCAAACAAAAAACATACTATGATAATATATGCAAAGGCGTACCAATTGGGTCGAGGCTCAAAAGAAAGCCGTCCCTTGGTGTGGACCAATCAGTTTCAAGGACAAAGCATATATTATCATAGTATGTTATTTGTTTGCATTTTGACTGCAGGTATTGTGGTTAATGCAGACATGAATCCTTGTAAAAAGGTTTCAGTTTTGTTGCCAGAAAAAAGGGGAAAAACCCGATTATTATGTTTTGGTACTGACAAAGGAGGTCTAATGATGTAGATGCTCACCCTGAGCCCTCATTATTTTGATAGTGCATTGTCTTTGAGCTGTACGCCGTTTTGCGTCATCTGGTCGAGCACCAATTGGGTCGAGGCTCAAAAGAAAGCCGTCCCTTGGTGTGGACCAATCAGTTTCAAGGACAATGCCACATATATTATCATAGTATGTTATTTGTTTGCATTTTGACTGCAGGTATTGTGGTTAATGCAGACAATTAATCTTTATAAAAAGGTTTCAGTTTTGTTGTCAGAAAAAAGGGGGAAAACCCGATTATTACATTTTGGTACTGGCAAAGGAGGTCTAATGAAGGGATGATACCCTTTAAATTAAATAAGGATGTCACAGCGGTCTTACAAATTGCACACGAATGGATGCAATGAATATCACGTCGCGGTCTGCTTTTCACTTGCAAGTTTCAGATTTACTGCAATACACCCATCCTTGAACGGGCAAAAGGCTCGTGTATATAAATGTTTACTCTGAATTGACTACCTTTTTGTAACGTTGCCAGTGTTATGCCCACAGCAAATAGCATATATGAATCGAGCAAACTATTATGTATGTAGCTCCCCTTGACAACACATAGGCCGTAATCTGCTTTTCTGTGTTGACGTTTTGATAATGCTCTTTGGTTTTTTCGGTAAAGTCATGCAGGTAAAACAAAATTAAAATAAAAGAAAACAATTAAAATCACGACGTTTCGGAGGCAACACAAGCTTCCGTCTTCAGGTGGAACAGTCACAGCAAGATAGCTGCATCAAGTGAATTTTGTTTTTCCTACGTGACTTTACCGAAAAAACCAAAGAGTGCATCCTTGCAGTCACGAAAGCTTCAAATCTAGTTTTGATAATGGCTTTTTTGGACGAAACATTGGCGAATTTGTATTTTTTTTCAGAAGCATTATATTCCTAAAGAATTGCTGCTTAAGTGCATTTTCAAAAAATTCACTAATCGTTGTTATAAAGTGATTTGTATCTCGAGAATATATCATTAGCTTCCATTGTTTGTTTACACCATTACATGTGGTGATTATGAAACATGTGTGTGCTGTGGTGTACCTGTATTTTGTAGAGCTCATTGCACATTTAGACGATGAATTGCACTCTTGGGCGAATAAACCCACGACTTGATTTTTAATGGAAGAAGAAAATAATTTGGCTGCTTTTTCTTGTGACAGGAGTACACCAGCAGCGGGTGGAACCTCAACAACATGCCAGTCTTGCCCCAGTCATTGCTGGGTCACATCGACGGGGACATATCTGGCATGAAGGTGCCCTGGCTGTATGTGGGCATGTGTTTCTCTTCCTTCTGCTGGCACATCGAGGACCACTGGAGCTACTCCATTAACTATTTGCACTGGTGTGTGATCAGTAATGTATTTACATCCAGCACCAATAAACTGTGACATAATGAGACAATTAGAAAGTATGTACTTCCATCTATAAGCATATGTAGTCTCGGGAAAAATGAACTGTGGTGGACAGAAATTGCAATTTATACTGAAACACGAATTATACGCTACTCCGATTCGTTCCTGCAAATTAATGTTTGCAAAATACTCTTATCTGCCTGAGGATTCGTTTCTAAAACTTTGCATGGATGAAATTTTTTGCAGTGGTTTCTCAGAAGCGATTTTTTTAGTTCTTGGTAAATTAATCCCATAATTAGAGCCTTGGTGCAGATACGTCAGCCTGATGTGGTTATCCCAGAAGTACTAAATTCATCCTGTTACCCAACCCTGAGCAGAGATAAGTGTTATGACAAGTCAGTCCTGTTATTCTGGTCTATCTTTGCTTTAATGTTTGGATATAAAGAGATTTGTGCAGATGAAAAAACCATGAAAGGATCTGCACCTAGCGCTTCTTCGTATGACTGGGGAAGCGGTTATCGTTGAGGTTAGGAATCCATTCAACGGTTTCAGGTGAGGCACAATTAATGGTTGTGCTGTCACTGGGAATGGATTTCCCAGGGCTCTAGTTGTATTAAAACATTGCTATTGGTATTCTTGTATTTGTATGTAATTTTCAGCTAAACTTGAGAGCGCTTATGCATTAGTTGTCTTTCCATATGTAAAGGTGGCACGGTATCTCCTATAGACTTATCCCATAACGTAAAAACTTTAGTATCAAGTTTTCTTGCTATTTGGGACTTTCCCTTTAGAAAACTGTTACCATTATCAATATACACCTCCGAGGACAAATGCATGATGGACAACATCACATAATATCCATTTGCATGACTGTTTTTCCTTTACTTATAATACAATATCAGCCATCTTATCAGATGAGGCTCCTCTGTCGACATCCCTCATGGTCTCGCGGTGCCATAATCCATTTAGTTAATGTACATGAAACTAATCTCATCGCTCTGGCTGTGCTGGTCGTCTTGTGGTGTTTTCTCTCTTGGCTGCCACTTGTCATTCTGTCAAATCTTGTCCATCGGCCGTCCCTTTTTAACAGTTCCCGCATGCCCCAGTAGCATCCATATCTCCATTAATCTTTGTGTTCTTTTATACATTTCACTTAGTGTTTGTCCCTGTTTTTTTATCCCTATGTCATATCAGGTACAGTGAGGGGAAAAAAGTATTTGATCCCCTGCTGATGTTGTACTTTTGCCCACTGACAAAGAAATGATCGGTCTATAATTTTAATGGTAGGTTTATTTGAACAGTAAGAGACAGAATAACAGCAAAAAAATCCAGAAAAACTCATGTCACAAATGTTATAAATTGATTTGCATTTTACTGAGGGAAATAAGTATTTGACCCCTCTGCAAAACATGACTTAGTACTTGGTGGCAAAACCCTTGTTGGCAATCACAGAGGTCAGACGTTTCTTGTAGTTGGCCACCAGGTTTGCACACATCTCAGGAGGGATTTTGTCCCACTCCTCTTTGCAGATCTTCTCCAAATCATTAAGGTTTCGAGGCTGACGTTTGGCAACTCGAACCTTCAGCTCCCTCCACAGATTTTCTATGGGATTGAGGTCTGGAGACTGGCTAGGCCACTCCATGACCTTAATGTGCTTCTTCTTGAGCCACTCCTTTGTTGCCTTGGCCGTGTGTTTTGGCTCATTGTCATGCTGGAATACCCATCCACGACCCATTTTCAATGCCCTGGCTGAGGGAAGGAGGTTCTCGCCCAAGATTTGATGGTACATGGCCCCGTCCATCGTCCCTTTGATGCGGTGAAGTTGTCCTGTCCCCTTAGCAGAAAAACACCCCCAAAGCATGTTTCCACCTCCATGTTTGACGGTGGGGATGGTGTTCTTGGGGTCATAGGCAGCATTCCTCCTCCTCCAAACACGGCGAGTTGAGTTGATGCCAAAGAGCTCTATTTTGGTCTCATCTGACCACAAAACTTTCACCCATTTGTCGTCTGAATCATTCAGATGTTCATTGGCAAACTTCAGACGGGCATGTATATGTGCTTTCTTGAGCAGGGGGGCATTGTGGGTGCTGCAGGATTGCAGTCCTTCATGGCGTAGTGTTACCAATTGTTTTCTTGGTGACTATGGTCCCAGCTGCCTTGAGATCATTGACAAGATCGTCCCGTGTAGTTCTGGGCTGATTCCTCACCGTTCTCATGATCATTGCAACTCCACGAGGTGAGATCTTGCATGGAGCCCCAGGCCGAGGGAGATTGACAGTTCTTTTGTGTTTCTTCCATTTGCGAATAATCGCACCAACTGTTATCACCTTCTCACCAAGCTGCTTGGCAATGGTCTTGTAGCCCATTCCAGCCTTGTGTAGGTCTACAATCTTGTCCCTGACATCCTTGGAGAGCTCTTTGGTCTTGGCCATGGTGGAGAGTTTGGAATCTGATTGATTGATTGCTTCTGTGGACAGGTGTCTTTTATACAGGTAACAAGTTGAGATTAGGAGCACTCCCTTTAAGAGTGTGCTCCTAATCTCAGCTCATTATTTGTATAAAATACACCTGGGAGCCAGAAATCTTTCTGATTGAGAGGGGGTCAAATACTTATTTCCCTCATTAAAATGCAAATCAATTTATAACATTTTTTTACATGCGTTTTTCTGGATTTTTTTTGTTGTTATTCTGCCTCTCACTGTTCAAATAAACCTATCATTAAAATTATAGACTGACCATTTCTCTGTCAGTGGGCAAACGTACCAAAAGTGGGCAAGCGTACCAAATCAGCAGGGGATCAAATACTTTTTTCCCTCGCTGTAATAGGCACTTATTGAAAACGTCCTTCAAGCACACAAGTTGCTTTTTTACTATCAAATGCATTTTTCCGAAAGGACTCCACCCTGTGTTATTGCTTCCCTCGTCATTTCAGCGTTTTAATCCTGTCTTCCTTCCATATTTGCACAATACACATACAGTAAAACCTTGGATTGTGAGTAACTTGGTCTGCGAGTGTTTTGCAAGACGAGCGAGGTCTTGCAATACGAGTAGTACGTATACGTTCTAGATTTGAAGCTTTCGTGACTGCAAGGATTCATACTCTTTGGGTTTTTTCGGTAAAGTCACGTAGGTAAAAAATCAATAAAATAAAATGAATGAAATAACTTTACCGAAAAAACCCAAAGGGTATGTATACGCTTTGTCTGCCAAGTGTCACTTGATCACAACTGATATACGAGTGCTTTGATATACGAGTGCTTTGGATTACAAACACGTTTCCGGAACGAATTATGCTCGCAATCCAAGGTTTTGCTGTATTACCTTTACGATTGTCATGTCATCTTTAATACGCGTAAAGCAAAACGGCAGTATTACTTGAGCGATACTCCAATTCAGTGCCGGATTATCCAAGTAGCACAAGTAGCTACATATGTAGCTATGTGCCCCGCACTTTCAAGGGACCCCCCTGCTAAATGCTTTAAAGCTATCAATTGTTTTCCAGTTGTGCTCATCCAGTTATTTATTTTTGTTTAGTGAACTTGTTTTATGGGACTTATTTTGCTCGTATTCATTTTTAGCTCAACTTTGCTTCCTTCATTCTTCTTAAGTAATTTTCTTAACTCATTTCATTGGTTATAATGACGGTCATCAGCAAATTTGAGACTATGTTCATACTTTACAAATGTATTCCTTCATCTCTTCAATCCCATTTTCAGAAAATATCTTCCATTGTCACTGAAGATTCTTAGTAACTCCTGTTCATATTTGTGTTTTGCTCTTTCTGCATGCAAACTCAATCTTTATAGATGGTTTTGGTTGCTATTTGTATTTAAGCTTTGGTTTGAGAGCTTGCGTGATGGCATCATTTTGGTCTTTTCCATGTCTACAAAAGCCAGGCTTAATTGTTATTGATATTGTCTCTCCTAAAATCTGATGGATAGTATGCATATGGCCAATGATTAAAAAAAGCTTTCTAAATCCTACTTGCTCTCTGGTGAACAATTATTTACATGTGAAAATAGGCTGAGTGTAATTTTTCAAACCAATTGTCTCCCTTTTTGAAATGGCAAAATTATTGAGGAATCACTTCACAATTGAGATATTTCATTTCTGTGTAAAAGTTTAGAAAACAGGCCCAATAATGTTGATACACCAGATTGCCCTATGGTGTCTACAGTTAGTCTATCTGGACCAGGTTTTTTTCCTTTAATACTGCTCCATCTGCCAAATGCCTTGTTTCCCAGAATATAAGGCTTATTTTGGTCTGGAAATCTGCATAGACTCTTCCACAGTTTTATCATTCCTCCAGCATGCATTGTTCCATTTTGCTCTTGTAGGGGCCACTCTAATTTATCCATCAACCTTTTTCTTTATTTAATTCTCCCGTTACTTGTGGTGACATCTCTAGTCACTGTTGTCATCTTTCTCGACACTATCTTTTATTTGGCAGTTGTATCCCTATTCATTTCTGTTCAACATGTTTTTCCTGTTTTCAGATTACTTCTCCATTTTGGTGTTTACTGTTTACCTGACTTTCATAGCACTGACCATTTGTGTTACGTCATTTGAAGTAGTGATATTTAATTTGGGGATTTCAATCTGTTGCTTATAATTGGTCCAAATCTCCTGTTCCCTGAACTAAATGTTTAGTTTTAACTTTTTGGTTTTGGCCTATAACTATACTTGCGCCATCTTTGGAAATGTTGAACTTGATCTTGCATCACTCAGCATGCATTTAAGTTGTTGTGGACAGAACCGTCTCCTGATCATCTGTGGTTTGTCATGAAGATAAATTCCATCTCGTTCCTAATTTCACCATTTGGTCTTCTCCACTCTCGTTTCCTATTTATTTTGAGTATGGTATTTTTATTTTCATATCTTTGATAAAAGATGTCCACTTTTCTGACTCCAATGCCAAACTTTGCATTAATTCCTGAATAATTCCACATCTTGTTCTCATACACAAGAATGTGACTTCCACAAGAGGTGCATTATTCCTTGTACTGTAAAGTTGGCTAAGCGATGAATATAGTCGGGTGTGGATGTATATGTGGGGAAAAGGTGGTAACTTTACGACTGTCTGTTACATTTTTTCAAAATGTTTAATAGTATTGTTTGCCCCTTTTATGATTTATGTAGATCGTTGCAAAGCTGTTGTGTGTATTGTATGTTGAGAAAGCTGGGCGGGGAGATCACTGAAACCCCTCTTCCCAATTCTAAAATCCCTGAAAAATGTTGCTTCAATCATTGTCTGCAAGCTATTGTGGATGTGCTAATTCTTTTTCGGTTCTTGTAAATTCACTGGTGGATGAAGGCGTAGCCAAAACCATGGTGATTATGGGGCATATTTTGCCCATACTCTTGTCACTGGTCCGTGTGGGTTGTTTGATAAGAGCACCCAGGATTTGTTATGTTATCACTCGCCACTGGTGTTTGCCATGGCTGGAAATTGAACTATCGTCACTGGGTTCATAGTGTAGTGTGTTCTCACCACTGCGTGACGGGTCAACCCGTTGTCTTTTTTGGAAACATGATGATAGTCAGTGGAGCAATCCATTGTTGTGAAGTACATTTCTTTCAGTGTTAGTCCTGCACCTTTGTGGAATAGTTTATCATGGGTTTGAACTATTCAAGCAAGAGAGGTGTAGCCATTTCTTAGAGCGAAAAAAAAGACCCTTTTTTTGCATGCATTGTTCAACTTTTTAAACTTCCCCTTTTTGGTGCTTGGAAATGTGTGCATCAGGCAGCTGATAAAATTGGCTTGAAACTGTCTTTTGTGGTGTTTTGCTTATTCCACAGGGGAGAGCCAAAGACATGGTATGGTGTTCCTGCGTATGCTGCCGAGTCACTGGAAAATGTTATGAGGACCTTGGCTCCAGAGCTCTTTCTGGCACAGCCTGACTTGCTGCATCAGTTGGTCACGATTATGAATCCCAACATACTAATGGCCCACGATGTTCCCGTAAGTATAGCTGGAATGAAAGCTGTGATTTAAAAAAAAAATGTTTTTCTTTACTTTTCATTGTAGAAATCATTTTTACCAAGGGAAGACTTTAAAACTTCAACAATTAACCCCCGTTAAATGGCAAGACTGACATTGGCTGTCCAAGCACCATGTTTGGACAAGTTGGGACTTCATAAAGTTAATATTTTATTTGAGTAATGTCACTTGCCTCTTTGTCGTGTGGGCTTACTGCTCTGTTATAGATTTACTGACCTATATTTTTTTTATTCAGAATATGCTAATTTTAATTTTGGAAGTGAAATCTTTTTTAAATTCCACGTGCCATACTACTTTATTTCGCAATTGGTTACGTAGCCTCTTAAAAGCATATTACGAAACTACTTTGGATAGGTTAATATTCCATTCTTCTCCAGTCCATTTAGCATCCTAAATTATTGATTACACTGTTATTGCACTTTCACTTGTAAATTGATTTAAATATTGTACTCAATTGGGCAAAGGCTAATGTTTTTATTGATTAAAAGCAAGTGGCACAAGCAGTCCAACCTACAGCACTAATAGTCTTAATACACTTTGTTCAAGTTTACTCATAAATAATAGCTAGCTTGATTTTGTTTAACTCCGGATTTGTGTTCATTAAATTGTCACTTTCCTTATGCATTCAAACCTCAGTGCATTCAGAATAGAGTATTTCGACCGTTCAATCAAACAACAGGAAGATAAATTGCATCGTCTTGAGGAAGGGTCAATACACTTTAGACAGTCTATAGCATTGCATCCTGAAAACGGTGTACGACCAAATTGCCTTCAATAAATCGTATCGTCAGGAATGCAATAGCCGGTGTGATTATGAAGTACTTGGGTAACCACTAGGGCTTATCAGATGTCGTAAGTCTGGAGGTTTGAGGTGAACCTGAGATGGCAGTGCTGAGTAACTCCCATTAATTTGTGAGAATCAAGCATTGTACAATTACATCATTGTGTTGAGGTGTTATACATTGCACTGACGTGTTATGGCATGTTTTTATATCCAGATACCTACATATGCCTACATACTTATTTTGTTAATCTTGTGGGTTCCTTTGCAGGTGGTGAGGACCAATCAGTGTCCCGGAGAGTTTGTGGTGACCTTCCCACGGGCCTACCACAGCGGATTTAACCAAGGGTACAATTTTGCAGAGGCCGTGAATTTCTGCACTGCAGACTGGGTGGGTTGACCTTTATTATTTGCTTGTGTTGTCTTGAGGCAACGACATATGCTGCATAAACATACGTGATAAATTTTACATGAAGTTACACATTTGCATATTTTATTAATTTTATGCTTAAGATGTATGATGTTAGCCTTTGACTAATTCACCTGGAATGCACCCAATCTCATGAGATTTTGGAAGCTAATTAGAATGAGCCAGGGAAGTGCTTGGATGGGTGACCATGCATACAGAGAGGCATTTGAGGCTGCAGTGGGGTTAAGAAACGAGTAGAGGGCAGTGTAGCAAGATTTATTTGTACATTGCTCTCACGTCTGCTTCCTGCTATCACAAACCTGTCAACCGTCTTGACCCACACATCATGCAGAGCCCATTAGCCAGCAGTGAATTTACAAAAGGGCTGTACTTTGCATGTCATTGTTTTCTCAATTGCAATAAGTAACTCATTTTAAAATAACCAACTGATGAAAAGTGACCCGAAAAAAAAGTTTACTTAAACATACACGTTTTAACTGTTGGTATTATTGAGGTTACATTGATGTGCAACATGACACAGGCATTCTGCTTTGTGACACTTTTCTCTGGAACAGCTTCCGATGGGCCGCCGGTGTGTGGAGCATTATCGCCTGATGCGGAGGTACTGCGTGTTCTCGCACGAGGAGCTGCTCTGCAGGATGGCGTGTGAGACAGAGGGCCTGGCGCTGCCAATGGCATCGGCGATTGGCCGCGAGCTCGAGATTGCCATTGACGAGGAGCGGAAGTTGCGCAGGGAGGCCTGGGAAATGGTATGAGCAGGGATGGTGTTTGGCCCTTCCCTGGCCCCCCCCCTTCCTCCTCCCAGCATTTTGATGAATTGTCACTCTTCAGTCACAATTTGATTCTAGGATCAATTCTGTACCTGTTTATTTTACTTGTATACATATTTATTTCTAGCTCTATATTAGCCACACTAACTTTTGCATATTTTGTGCATGTATCATTGAATATTTTCCCGCACATACATTTCAATGCATATATTGTGCACAGAATCCCAAGTAACACTGCCGAGTGATTCTCGAGATCCAGGCTTTTTGTCTGGGTGAATAAATATAAAATTTGACATAGGTCATACTTGATTTCTATTTTTCTGGTCTGAGCGGTACTTGAACCATTTAAACAAAGCTATCCAAATTTCGATTTAAAGCTTTCGTGACTGCAATGATTCATCTTCTTTGGTTCTTTCGGTAAAGTCACGTAGAATGAGAATAAAATAATAAATTGATAAATAAAATAACACAATAATATTCTCACGACGTTTCGGCCACAACACAAGCGGCCTTCATCAGGTGAAGGGACGAGACTGTCTGGTAGGACAGCGCTGGAGTGATCTGAACGTGGCTCTTTCACTCCAGCGCTGTCCTACCAGACAGTCTCGTCCCTTCACCTGATGAAGGCCGCTTGTGTTGTGGCCGAAACGTCGTGAGAATATTATTGTGTTATTTTATTTTATCAATTTATTATTTTATTCTCATTCTACGTGACTTTACCGAAAGAACCAAAGAAAAAGCTATCCAAAGCCCAACATAAATCGCTGTTCCGTGTTCACATCTCAATATAATGTTTTTTCATTTAACACAAATGGTTACATGAATACTGTTAATTTATTTTTGATTATAAGACAATTGTTGTCGGCAAAGGAGTGTAAATTAAGCCCTTGTGCATATGTTAATATACGGTCTGATTTATCTGCGCTGAGGTACAAACAATTAATTAGCATTAACATGTACATTTAGTGTGTCAGAAGCCAATAATTTATAGATGCCATCAGCCACGATTATTGTTCTCATTTTTTAATGTAGGCTGCACTGCTTTTTTTATATATATACTTCAGTGTTGTTTTACATTAGGCGTTTATTACAAAGAAATATCCATGCCAAACAGGAGTTTGGTGCCTTTTTACTTTCTGAGCACTGTGCCATGCTATTACTTTCATGTCTTTGTGGTAGCTGGTCATAGGTGGTGAAGGTAATATTTCGTAACGTCAAAATGCCAAATGTTGACACGTGTTTTTGGCATGCATTAGCCTAGACTTTGAGGGGAGTCTTTTCTTTACAGATTGCCAAATACGACTTTCCATATACCTTCGTCAGGCCACACATTAACACACACCTTCGCGCTATCCAATGATAACGTGACACAATGTGCTTGTTGACATTATAATAAGGCCCTTGCCCTGACAATTGACGGAGCATGCTACATTGGAAACAGTGCTGCCAGGCACAAACATATTTTGCTTGATGAGTGCAGCAAATATGCAGTAATGGATAAATATCAAGTGCAGACCATTTCAAAGAAGTAGGCCTCGTGGGGCAACGTGCCTTAAAAAAAGATAAGTGACCCATGGGCTGTGTATTATCCACCCCTGCATTAGCCTAACTAAGCATATTTGCTTACCGTCTATTGCATTAATGTGCTGCTCAATTATATTTTCTTAGAATGGTTTCAATATAAAGCATTTCATTATGACACAACCCCCTCCCCTCCCCACCACCCTGTCTTTCCTCTGTGTGGTTTCTGGCAGGGTGTGAGCAAGTCGGAGCCGTTTGAGTTTGAGTTGTTGGCGGATGATGAGCGGCAGTGCCACTTTTGCAAGACGACCTGCTACCTGTCTGCTATCGCGTGCCCCTGCTGCCCAGGCCGCCTGGTGTGCCTCTATCACATCCGTGACCTCTGCCGTTGTCCCACACAGCACAAGATACTCAGGTTTGTGGGGAAATGTTTTGAACGTGTTTTATAATGTATTCACTCGGGTCTCCAGTTGGTTCTCACTTTTCTAATAACAAAGACACGTTTGCGTCTCCTGGTTTCCTTGTTGCATTGTACTTGCATTAATGTGTTTTTTTGTTGTTTAAATCAACATGGCACGTGGTTTCAGCGTTTATTTTTTCATATTACTGTTTAAAAATAAATGTATAAAATCCTATAAAATGAATCAATCCTAAAGTCGCTGATACGGCAGGTAAGCACAGTGACTTAATTGACTTGTTATTATTGTAACTGTACATCCGCAGTTAAAGTTGAAAGTGCATCTTATATGCTTGACAGTTTTGAGTGGAATACAATGTTGTAAAATTTTTTTTTTTTAATCAGGTACAGATATACACTGGACGAACTGCCCCCAATGCTGCACAAGCTGAAGTCTCGAGCAGAGATATTTGATGCTTGGGCCGAAAAAGTGAGGAGAGCATTGGAAGAGGAAAATGGCAAGAAGTCTGGTAATGCCATCTCTTGCTGAAGTTGCACAAGCATAAAAATTGGCACACACGAACCTACAATGCCATTCTGATTCAGTATTCAGGAATAACGTTTTTTTTTTCTGATGGCAATGTAAAACCCTGAGCGTAAAAAAAACCTGACTGTATCCTGTTGTGTGCAGATTTGTCGGCGTTGAAGGCACTGCTGGAGGAGTCTGAGACGCACGACTTCCCCGAAAGCAGCTTACGGCAGAACCTTATGCTTCTCGTACTTGAGGCAGACCAATGTGCCTCAATGGCACAGGACCTGATGAACAGTCGCAACTGTGTCCGGTTCGTTCTCTCTGGCAATGTTTCGGCTCTTTGGCTTTTTTCATCCACATTTGTTATCCCTGTGGTGAATGCTAATCTAAAACTCCTGTAAAGATTTTGAAACATTTGCTGTTGGTGGATTGTGGCATGTTATTATGATCTGCTGTTATGAAGTAAATTGTTACTCGTATTTTTTTTACTAAAAACTAGTAATTTTATTAAGTGTGCATGGAATCGTGCATGTAAGGATTCATAATGTGTGAATTATATAGATTAAATGCATATGCATGTGTTAATTTATGCCATTGGATACAGACGAGACGGACAGCACAAATATGAAAGGCAGCATGTTAGAGGGACTCCTGCAAATAAGACGACACTCGATATCCAAACAAACAGGACAGACAATGCTGCTGCTGACGCATTCAATTTGAGAGGGACATTACAAACGAGATGGACAGTCTTCTCGGTTCTTTCGGTAAAGTCACGTAGAAGGGAAATAATACAATGAAAATGAAACTTAAAATAAAATGGACAGTGCTATCCAGACATACAATACAGTGGATGTGTTCTTTAATCAAATCGCAATTATAGTTTGTGACTGCTCAATCAGATTGGGTGGGGCGGAGTAATCCTTGCAAATGTAAAAATAGCTGAATGTTGAATATGTTCACAAAACGATGCCCTTTGCACAACCTTTCTGACAACAGAGACAAGAGTGGTGCAACTGAAGAGCAAGTGATGCTGAGCTTGGAAGAGTTCAAAACATTTGTGAATCGTTTGGAAAAACTTCCCTGCACTGTCAACTATATGAATGAAATAAAGGTAACAACGTTTGTTTTAACAATTTTGATTTATTTGGTTATTTTTGTTTGATGCATTGCAGGTTTTATTTCAGTCCTCTTAATTACATTTTTTTAACAGCTTTTATAACATTACATTTGTAACCTAGCTAAGTAATGGACTCAATGCCACTTTCTGGGAAGTCAGCAGTGATAGTCTGAAAGATGAATTGGTCAGCATTAGCTCCTATCTGAACAGAAGCCTGACCTTTAGTCTAACATCAATAAAAAATAGTTTTGGGCTCATGGTGAATTTAATTATGCATGTGATAATCTGTTGTTCATAATGTCTGCAAATTCTACGCCCAATTTTCCTAATGATGCTTTAAGGCTATTGGTGCAAACACGGCTAGAAATTAGACAATCATAAACTATATAAAAGAGATGGTTAAAAGAATATGATAGAATGTGTTCAATACAGTTATAATCTCAAATAGCCGTGGAGGAGAGTAATTGTTATATGCCTAATGAGCACCTCCCCACCGTCAAATCTTGCAACTTTTTAAAAATAATATTGCAAGGAATAGTTTAATTTCCACTGGGTGGTGATGTTTAGTCCGTCCGCTAGATGGTGCTCAAGATGCATGCAAATAAATGGAATGCAAGTTTTATGCACATTTAGTCACTTTTTGTTATTCCATTAACTTGTGTTTTCGATGGTGACCTGTCATGTTTCAGAGAACAAATATATTCGCCTTGTTTTGCTCCCATTTTGTGATTTGGATCTTTTTATTGTGTGCACATTGTGGGCAGTTAAATTACTTTGTGATTTTTTAAAAAGTGTTTTCGTTAATGGATTACATCATTGTGTTATTGATAAACTTGTTTGTTTTTTAAGTGATTTGTTTACCTTTTCTATACTGTGCATTGTAATGTTTTGTATTGTAATGTTCTGATCTGCCCTACTGAACACCTGTGAAAAGGAGCTTTAAACCCCATTGACTTCCTCCAGTATCAATACATATTCTAATTCGAGTCTGTTAATATGATATTTGTATTGAGCTCTGCAAATTAAGAGATTCTCCTATTAACACCAAACTCAAACCTATGGTTGGTCACTTTGTTTTTCAGGAGCTGCTGGAGAGAGTGGAAGGCTTCAGGGATGCTGTGCAGCTGCTGTTGGTGGCAGAGGACAAACCAGATTTGGTGCGGATGCAAGAGTTGCTCAAGGAGGCTGAACACTTGGCTCCTGTTCATCTTCCCGAGAAAGAGCAGCTGGAACAGAGGGTGCAGAGGGAGCGCTGGCTTGAAGAGGTGCACACTGCACTGGCCTCTTCACTGTCCAGCCAAGACCAGGTGAGAGAGTGGCAATAGAAATCCACATTTATTGTTGAGGTTACATGGATGTTCATTGTTAACGCTTTCCAGGTTGAAAGTTATAATGCAGTAGCTCTGTCCGCCCGCACTATAACCCTTGTAAACAAGATCCAATATCAACTAAAGTTGTGTTGGCATTTGGTTCTTACCCTATTTAAAAGCTGTCAAATTCATCAAAGGGGTTTCCCTTAACTTCACACACAAATCCGAGTAAAAGGGACAGTGCAAATATTCAAGAACGTTTTTTCTCTCAGCTTCCATACTAATAAATAATTCTGAGGACAAACATGTGAGAGAGAGAGCATTTGCATGCGTTGTCCTAACTTGTTCAACAGTCCTTTATGAGAGCATTGACAACATTTTATGTTTGATTTGCTTTTGTCTTGTGCTGTGCTAAGGGGCTTTCTGAGAAAGAAGCGATGGGTGGAGGCGTTAGCTGCCTGAACATAGAGGTGCTTCGCAGGTTGATAGACAGTGCCATGCCACTGGGAGCTGAACCTGTCATGGATCAAGCTGTGGCTGAGCTGCAGGAAATTCTGACCGTGGCAGAGAGTTGGGAGGATCGGGCCCGTGCTTGCCTGCAGGCCAGGTGAGTGTAGCATGTTTCGTGTACATCTCATATCAGCTGCTTATTGTGTGTGTGTGTATATATACTCATAGTTATTGCAGTTCAGGTACATTTTTAGAAGAGCTGAAGGGCTACTTATTGTTGCGACCAGATAATGTTGGCTGCTTGTCCGTACAGGGACAATTCACTTGTTTTTATGAAACTATACAACACCCTGAAATCTGTCGCTATGAAAATTACCATTTCTGTACAGTCTTTGGGAAAGATTGACACCTGAATGAAAGGGATGTAACATATGGGCAATTGATCCTATTTGTGTTTATGCAATCGAGCACGGGTCCATGAGGGGTGCGTAGTGGAATGTTGCTCTCGGCACAGTTCTTCAGCCTGCTACGCAAAAAAAATGGCGGCGTATTGCACTGGCCTGCGAAGTTGGCCAGTGCAACCAGGCGCCTTGAAACATTAGTGGAAGGCGCCTTACAAATAAATGGAAATTATCATTATGATTGGGATTTTGTTCCGCAGCATTATAGAAACGATTTTGATGCATTTTTATGAAATGTATTTACATTTTTTCCACGGTGGACACATTCAACAAATGCCATAAATTGCCATTATTTTTCATGTCGTAGGGACGCATGTTTTTTACAGGAATTCCCAGTAACATGGTAATTTTGGAATGTTCCACAGGCCTAGGATGGTGAGAAGTACCCTTGAGTCCATTGTTGCTGAGGCTCATGGGGTACCAGTTCATCTGCCAACTGTGCAAGCACTGAAGGTCTCCTTACAGCAAGCTGACGATTGGACTGCTGACCTGGAAAAGATCCAGGTAGTGCGACAGCTGAACTCTCCGTTGCAAGTGGCTGTGAAAAACATTGTACTTAAAATACATCACCAAAGCTATGCACGCGAACGGTCGGAGGTTGCACCTGCCCTCATAACAGGAGGCTTGAGCTTGTTGACACGAAAATGACCATTTCCGTTACTTACGTGGGTGTTCGTTTTTGCATGTTCAGGCAGGAGATCACTATCCATACTGCAGCGTGCTGGAGAGGATGGTATCGCAAGGCCGCTGCATTCCTGTGCAGCTTGATGCATTGTCCCAGTTGGAGGGGTGGCTGGAGGCTGCCAGCATTTGGCAGAGACGTGCTGCAAGGACCTTTCTTAGGAGAAACTCCTGCTGTACCCTCCTAGAGGTGAGTACATGACATGAAGGGTTATTTTTATAATGCTTAAAAATAATGCATAATTCACTGTAAGGCGAGTTTCTGCTGATCTTGCACCATGGTTTCACTGAGCGACTATGTATTAAACGCTGATTAAAACAAGATGATAGCTCATTCAGTCTTAACATGCTTTTTTTCAATGGTCACACATAATATAGAACACATGTTACAAAATATCAAATACAACAAGACCGAGTTGAAAGATAATAAAAATGGGAAACACGTGAGTTATGCATATCGTAAAGCAATAAAAAAAATAGCGTGGTATTATGTCTTTAATGTAATTCGAAATATCAGGAATATACGAATTTAAATGAGGCAGGAGATATATTCTTAGTTCTTTCGGTAAAGTCACATTGAAGGGAAACAACAAAATAATAAAATATATATAAAACAATAAAAATTCTCACGACGTTTCGACCATAACACAAACGGTCGTCTTCAGGTGTGTTGGTTTGCATAAATGTATTTTTAAACGGTGCATTTATTTATTTATAAAAAAACCGTTAGCGCCACGCGCAGCGATTTGGCAGTTTATTTAGGACTAGTCCATCTATATTCTGAAAAGAGGAGATGTTCAAAAGCAGTTCCATTCATATTGTCCAAGCAGCGAGTTCAATTGCAACTCATTGAGAGGGTATGATATTAACTCATGTACCATAGTGTCCCACCTAGGAATATCCTGGTGGAAGGAATGTTTCGAAATATAGCATTACTCTTGGCACATAACATCGGAATTTTGAGACTTGGCGCAACAATTTTGCAAAGTGATGAAATGCATGAAGTTGAAGGCGTCTTTTAACTTGCAGGTGCTGAACCCAAAGACTTGTGCTGGTGATGCGGAGAAAGGGAACGAGTGCGGTGACAACAAAAGAACTCCGTCCCAAGGGACTGACCCTTCTTTTGTGAGTCTAAAAAAAGAGCAGCTTACCTTTTCAACATTTGTTTCTCTGCAGCAAAAAAAATACCTGATTGTCTTTAAAACTACTGTGTTAATTCGAATGTTTGCTTAAAAGTATAATGATTCCATATTTATATTGAGAAATATAAGTTCAGTACCTTTTGAAATTCAAATGAACGATGCATCTCTTTGGAATAACTTTTATCGACATTCAGTAGAGATTAAAGTTTTGATATTTACAAAAAGTCAAGCTCCTCCGTGGTATCAATTGACTTCTGGTAAATCGCCCGATAATGCTGGATGTCATTACCAGCGAAACATCATATTCAAATTGTAAATGTTGTGGATTTACTCTCCAACACACCGGTGGGTTGAAGTAGTAACTAATGGGCACGTTGTTTACGTGAAAAACCTTACTGGCAGTGGTGGAGGGTTATGACACATGTATACTTTAGCGTTCTCACCCAAAAACCTTTTATGGCTTTGTTTAGGCCTCGGCAAGGTAAGGTAATTTACCCTTTTTACCGGGTACAAGGGTAAAGGTAAAAGGGTAGGGTGTCAACCATACCAAGGGGTAAGGTAAAGTGTAGAGTAAAGGTAGCGTGAAGTATTACCTGGTAAATACCCTGTTTACTGCTCACTAATAGCTCCGTGGCGCAATCCGTGGCCTCCATTTGAAATTTGAATCATTGATGTCGAACCAGATGGAGACGGACCACGTTCTTGAGGTAGAGGATGAGGTCGAGGAGGCCAGCAACTGCATTTCCGGGGTTGCTGCGAACAGCAATCAAAAGAGGCAGCGGCATGCGTTCCTGTGGGAGCAAGGAAAGCGCCAGTGCATGCACTGCCGCAAGTGGTTTTCCTCGCACACGAACGCGTCGAGGTGGAAAGCCCACCTCAAGAAGCCCAATGTTGCTCGCCCCAGGCAGCGAGGTCAGGACATCGGCGTCGGCGAGCCGCATAATTCAGCAAACGCTGAGCCGGCCAGCAATCCCGGATCGCCTCTTGGTAAAGTTTGAGAACTCGGTGGTTGATTTTGTTATCCAAGGTGCAATCTCTTTGCGAGCCGACGGCAGCGACAAGTTCAAGACCTTGGTCCACACATTGACGCAGGGATATGAGGGTCTGTCGACCCGCACTGTCATTCGCAGGATTGTCGAGCTTCACGCCATCATGCTTCCCATCGTCGGGGCGGTCTTCTCCAACCTGGACGTCGCCATCTCGCTCACCATCAACGGGTGGTCGAACCACAACCTGAAGGGATTTTGGATTGTTACGGTGCACTGGATGGACACCAAATCTGGTGCATTGAAATCCATGCTACTGACGATCCTCAATGTGCAGTCCTGAAGGGGTGTCGGCAAGCGCATTGGCACCGCTCTGTTTGAGCACCTCCAAAGCCTCGGGCACAATGTCTCAACCAAACTGCTCACTTTCACCAGCGACAATGGCTCCGATGCGATCAGTGCTGTCAAGACGTTGTTCGTCCTGGTCAACGCGGATGCCGGATATGAGCAAGTTGCAGGCTTGCCAACATATTCGCTGCGCAAATCATTCGGTCCAGATCGGCAGCGTCCAAGTTCTCAAACTGATCAAGTCGACCAACGCCGAACTGCGCGAGGCGCTCGTCAATATTAGGCGCAGCAAGGTCGTCCGGCAGTCGTACCGCCGTGAAGCCGAAATCACCAAACTTGCCAGCAAAGGAGCCGACGCACCAGGACACGTCGACCAGGTGGAATTCGACGTTTGACATGGGCACCGATGCCATCAAGAAGCGTGTCCCATTGGAAATTATCATGGCGCGCTTCCAGGATGTGATCGGCGTCGGTGCTTTCTCTGAACTGCAGTAGGCAAACATCGAGGGTGTGACAGCATTCCTGTGAATGCCGCGCCAGGTCATGACCTCGTTGTCGGTGGGACCGCAAGTCGACATTGGATGTCGTGCCGGTGACGATGGAGCACCTGATCCGTTATTGCTATCGCGGTGAAGCCGCTCTTAGAGCGATCGATGAGTCCTTGGCCGCGACGGGGATGAAGGCCGAGCTGGTGCGGTACCGCAACTTCCTAGTTCAGGAACCCGCTGTTGTGGCATCCCTACTTGAACCCACAGCTGCCAACAATGACAGACCAAGACGAGCTGGCTACACTGAAGGTCACAATCCACTCTGTCCTGCAGCATCACTACTCGGACGTGCTCGCGATCCCGCCGAAGGCAGTCGCTGCCCATATGGAGGAGGGGTCGCTGTTCAGCGCCCTGTTCAGCAACGTCGGCAGCTTCGTCGACGATGGCAATGAAGTCGATCGTTTTCTGAGCATGGGCGTCACGACCGCCAGCGCCTTCATTGACGTAAAGCAGTGGTGGTCTCCCCGCAAAGAGCTGCTCCCCGCCCACTACAAGATGGCCTGCGACGTCAACTCCCTGCGAACGCGCGAATAGCGGAGCCAGGTGGGGAGGTCACATGCGTTCGCCAGTCGCTGTTGTCGACGCTCTTCATCCATTATGGCGAACGCATGTGTACGCCTTTTGGCGTCTTCTGGTCCAACACCAATGGAGACTAGGCTCTAAGAAAAGCTGTCTCGGGTGTGGACCAATCAAATTCAAGGACAGTGCATATTATTATCAGAGTTGTCTTTTTTGTTTGCATTTTGACTGCTTGTGTTGTGGTTATTGCAAACATGATGCCTTGAATAAAGGTGTCAGTTTTTGTGCCAGTTAAAAGGGTAAAACCTATTCCTATATCTTCTTTCTGGCAAAGGAGGTCTCATAATGTAAATGCTCACCCCGAGCCCTCAATACTCTGATCGTGCGCTGTTTTTGAGTTGTACGCCTTTTGGCGTCTTCTGGTCCAACACCAATGGAGACTAGGCTCTAAGAAAAGCTGTCTCGGGTGTGGACCAATCAAATTCAAGGACAGTGCATATTATTATCAGAGTTGCCTTTTTTGTTTGCATTTTGACTGCTTGTGTTGTGGTTATTGCAAACATGATGCCTTGAATAAAGGTGTCAGTTTTTGTGCCAGTTAAAAGGGTAAAATCTATTCCTATATCTTCTTTCTGGCAAAGGAGGTCTCATAATGTAAATGCTCACCCCGAGCCCTCAATACTCTGATCGTGCGCTGTTTTTGAGTTGTACGCCTTTTGGCGTCTTCTGGTCCAACACCAATGGAGACTAGGCTCTAAGAAAAGCTGTCTCGGGTGTGGACCAATCAAATTCAAGGACAGTGCATATTATTATCAGAGTTGCCTTTTTTGTTTGCATTTTGACTGCTTGTGTTGTGGTTATTGCAAACATGATGCCTTGAATAAAGGTGTCAGTTTTTGTGCCAGTTAAAAAGGGTAAAATCTATTCCTATATCTTCTTTCTGGCAAAGGAGGTCTCATAATGTAAATGCTCACCCCGAGCCCTCAATACTCTGATCGTGCGCTGTTTTTGAGTTGTACGCCTTTTGGCGTCTTCTGGTCCAACACCAATGGAGACTAGGCTCTAAGAAAAGCTGTCTCGGGTGTGGACCAATCAAATTCAAGGACAGTGCATATTATTATCAGAGTTGCCTTTTTTGTTTGCATTTTGACTGCTTGTGTTGTGGTTATTGCAAACATGATGCCTTGAATAAAGGTGTCAGTTTTTGTGCCAGTTAAAAGGGTAAAACCTATTCCTATACCTAGCTCTTCATCCAATCGGTGTGCTTGCGCTCGTGGATCGCGGTCGGCTGCCTGAAGGTCCCGTCTAACCAGGCCGGAGCGGCGCAGGATCTTGTTGCCCACCGTTCATCCGAGGATGACGACAATGACGAACTTAATCAGGTTGTTGATGAGATCGTCATTGACCAAGACTACTGGGACGAGGAGGTTATGGAGGACCGTGTCATCGACAGCCTCAACGCCCGATTCGAGATATACGAATAAAGCGCTCTACCTAGCATTTACCTGTTGTAAACCTTTTTCATGTGTGGTCCCCCGGTAATTGCGCTGTAATCGGGTAATTTATATGGGGTAAGGGTAAAAGATAGGGTAAAGGTAGGCTCGTTGCTTTTTAACTATTTCCTTGCCTTGCTAAAGGGTGAAAAGAAAGTGTAGAGTGATTGTATTATGGTAAGGTAAAGGGTAGGGTAAAGGTAGGCTCGTTCTTACCTTTTACCTTACCTTGCCGTGGACTAGCTTTGTTTGCTCAGTTGTGTACAAAATATGAATTCCCAAATTCTTATGTCTGCTGTGGAGTGTCCCATGCATCTTGCGCAACGTCCTCCCTGCGATGAGCAATTATGAATGCACGTGAATATTTTCACACAGGTGGATACGTACAGGTCCGCAGAGCGCGAGGAGGTGGAGGCCATGCGGCGAATGCGCGAGGCCAGTCGCGCTAGCGGGCCTCCACCAGAGGGGGGCACCACGACGCCATGTGGCGCGTGTGGCCACGGTGATGCCGGGCTGGTGAGGCAGTGCCACCAGTGCCGGGCACCCTGCCACCACGGCTGTGTGGCACCGACTCACCGCCGAGCCGGTGCCAGGGCGCTGTGCACTCGCTGTGTTCGATCCAAGCGGCCGCAAATGGCCACTGTACTGAACCTCCTGGTTGGTCTACAGGTATGCAATGTACACATCGATCTGTTGCGCTTTAAGGTGTATGGTTAAATTTTTTGGTATTAGCTGTGAAAAAAACAAGTTGCCCAACGACAATTTAGCTTATTGGTCCTGGACCTGCTTATCCTGTCTACCATTTGGACAATAGCTTTGTGCAAAGCTATCAGTGTTTTAAATTCGTACAATGGATAGGTATGCTTTTTATGTATCTCTATTGCGACATGTATTTACCTCGCCAATCTATTGACCATTTAATACGCTAGATTTTGTAATTGTTTTATGCATTATTATTGTGGGTTGAATAAACTCTCAATGTTGTTATGAATGGAATGTTATATTAGTGTAAATGTAAATGTGTGTAATAATTTGAGCATTTTGTATTATGTTATGATTTAAACTATGAATTAATGTACTATGGATTCATGAGTGAACACAGCCAGAGTAAAAATAAATAGTTTGCTACTTAAATTAATTATGAAAAATTATTGGATCTCATTTACATATTCAGAAAAGGTCTATTGTCTACATTTTTTGTGTGTAAAAGTAGCCTTGGGTGGTAAGGTGGCACTTTTTGACAAAAATAGGTATTTTGCCAGTGTTTGAATGTCAGACAATTGTTGGTTGATTCATGACAAGTGCGGTTTTATATCTAGACCAAGTCCTGCTTGAAAGTGTTGTGTGCCCCCTTTCTCTTTTTAAAGAAAGTTGTGTCCATATCCCTTGCCAGGGCCTGCCCGTCAGGCTGCCAGAAGGAGAGGCCCTGCAGTGCCTGGCAGAGCGTGCGATGGGCTGGCAGGACCGGGTGCATCAAGCCCTGTCCCAGGGGGAGGTTGTGCGGGCCCTTGAAAAACTCAAGTCCCAGCCCTCTTCCCATAAAGTGGCACACAACACCAAGTCCAGAACCACCATCGGGCAGGCGAGTGTTTGGATGGCTCTTGTTTTATACACACGGGGGGGGGGGGGGACCCTCTTGTTCACAACCTTTGGGGTGGGGGGGGGGGGGGGTGAGCCACAAAGGTGTGCCAGTGGCCTTTTTTCGTAGCAACAACCTAGATTGAGTGGCCAAAACGTCTACCACTGTTGATAAAAAAGATACTATTGACCAAAAAAATGCAACGTCTTGTTCTTTTGACTGTAAAGGGTGTTGCCTATGAGAATTATTTTGAATTCATAGCTGCGTTCTTTTAAACTTTATTTTTTTATAGTGGTCATTACATGAAAGATAAGATATGAGACTAAGTGGACTGCTCTTAGTAGTGGATCAAAATATAGCACAATGCTCATTGACCTGTTTTGGCTATAATCTATGACGGCAAACTAGCAGTATCTGATGATTTCTGTGATGTGCAATCAAAACAGGTTTCGGCATGTGACTATCCCAAGGGGCAATACATTTAATCTGTGCTTGCGAAATTATAAATTTGACTTGTCATTAGCTCGTGATGTTTGCTGCTTGTGTTTTTTTATAATTATATGCATTACAATTCATTTTGTGCAGAAGGAAAACCCAAACAATGGATCGTGTGGAACTCTCGCTAACGTTTCTTCTGAACACGGAGGGAATGATGATCCCACCTATGACCTTCAGCCTTTGACTTCTACCTCCTGCACTGAGCTTGCCCAGTCTTCAGTGTGCAGCAGCCAAAGTGAGATTTTTTTACACTCATGTGACTAATCTTCTTGGAGGGGTTAAGCAAGGCCCTAAAGTCCATTACACTACTACATTGTAATCATAGAAGTCATTGGCACTTGTTTCAAACGAACATAGGTGGACTCGTCCATCTGAACAAGTGCCAAATCGCTGTCCGTGGTCCTAACGTTAAGAAAAAACCGCCACGTTTTTCAAATTTTCTTGCTGGTTTTCACACCTGATGATGATTGCTTGTATTGCAGTCGAAACGTTGTGAGAATTGTATTGTTTTATATTTGTATTATTTTATTGTTTCCCTTCTACGTGACTTTACCGAAAGAACCAAGACTATGAATCCCTGCAGTCGCGAAAACTTAAAATCAAAAGTTTATACAGATGTTTAAAAAATGGCTTTCTCGAGACATTTTGCCTTGCCACTGACGTTTTACTTATATTTTTGTGACAGGTTCCAGGTCGCAGCAGCAGTTTCATTCGCTGTTGCTCCCTCCCACTATTCTGGCACAACTTGAGGACCTGCTCATGCAGGGAGATCTGATTGAAGTGTCTCTGCAAGAGACGCGGCTTCTTTGGAGGTTACTGTCATCACCCTCGTCTTCCGCTGACCAGGACAGAGAGGTCTGTGAAATTATTACTTTGCATTGCATTTTAATTGGGTGCTCGTTTCTTCGAATGCAAAACACGTAATTTTTTTTTACTGCATTTTAACCAATTTTGTAATATTTTTGAAAAATATTGCATTTTTGTATATGGGAATATTTGTACTTCATGCAGCAAAATGTTATATTAAATGCAGAATTTTCTTCAAAAGGTTTTTGCCATTGTAACAATTGCACTAAAGGTCATATCCCATACATAATCAATGTGTATTTTTTAGAATGTTTCAAAATGTGTTACATTTCCATAACCAATAGTGATTGACATGGTAAATGAGTAAATGTTTAGCCATTGTTACTGTAATTTTTCTATTTTGGTGCCCTTGCAAATCATTGGGAAATTCTTATTGAAAGTGTTTTTGGCATGTAGAGGCATTGATATTGTTGCTGAACGTTGTTGATATTATTTTGGTTGCTTACCCAACACAGCTAAGTTTTCAAAGATTAATTAGAATTTTTCTGTGAAATGCGATTCTAAGAATGTCATTCGTTTACATGTGTTTATGCTATTACTTTTCATATTTTGCCAGCGGACGGCAGTGGATTAGGTACTAGCATCTGAAATTTCTGACACACCTCTTGCTTTGTGCTTGTATTTCCTACATATAAAGTAACTTGTCTACCTATTTTTATTTATGTTGAAGCTAAGTGTGACACTTATTGTGTCCTCCCAACCATCACGGATAATGATCGGCATTTTGCATCCTGTCATTCCCGGACGGACAATTTGGCGCTCTTAAAAACCTTGCAAATAATTCCTAGCTTGTGAAAACTCACAATATAATGCCTAAAGGGGAAACACTTGCGCTCTGATAATGATTTGCCACTTTTGATGTAACATTTCAGCATGAGAATGAAGCACTTAATACCGAGGGGGAGTACAGAGATGACAAAACATGCAAGAGGAAACCGGAGTCGGAGGAAGTCTGCAAAGAGGAAAGGAATGCCGCAGACCGTCCCGCTGACGGTCGCAAACGCACAAAAGTGGAGAAGGATGAAGGGGCAGACTCCGGCGCGGAGTTTTCCGCTGCGTCGAGCGAGCACGAAGCGCAGAGTCCCAGTTCCAGGGAGGGGGAAGAGCGGCCGGGTGGAGGAGTGAGGTTTCGGGAGATAGGTGACAAACTGGAGCGAGCCCGCGGTGGTGCGGCAGGGGCTGTCGTTGTGGGCTTGGAAAATGTGGCAGAAAGCAAAGGGCGACCTCAAGATGAGGTGTGAAGATTTTGTCGTGCTTCTCCAGTAGGTTTTTTTTTTCTTTCTAATATGTACATTAGCTGTAGCATACGATTTAAAACGTCATACAATATAGGTGTATAGGTTTGCGTCATGTATATAATGCATGTGTGTGTAGTGCATGTGTGCGCATATGCGCATGCGTGCATGTTTGCAGGAATTGAAGTTGTCATGGTCATTTTACAATGTTTTGCTGTATTCCTTTTTAGTCCGAATTTTGCCATACATTGTGCATTATCATAACCCATAAGGTGGCAATTGGAAGCTCAGTTGAAGCTTCTTCCTTAAGCATTGCTATCAATCTCCAGTTCTCCACCCCTTCTATCCCCTAGTACTTTAACCCCAACATGGGTGAAGTTATTGCAGCTCTCCTCCGCTGAGCATGGTTTAAGAGTTTAAATATTAACTTAGTGCTGGTTTCATAGTCAAAACAGGCCAACGTTTTTTTTCTCATTCTATAAATCTAGGTGACATTCCACCCATATAATTATTACAGAGTTGTGCAATGAAATACCTACCTTTTTTAAAATACGTAAATATGGATACCACACGAGTACATGTAAAATGCTGTTGCCTTTGTCAGGTGGAATTGGCCCGGGTGCGGCGGTAAAATGTGGCAGCACGATTTCGCCTGGCTTTATGGAAGGGGGGTGGGGGGGACTTACCCAAACTACTGATCCTGGAGGATGCGGCTGTCACATTGCCACAAGATAAGAAGCCCTCGGTCTTGCTTTTACGGTCTGCTTTGCCGTTTGATTTTCAGGGAGACAAAAGAAAAAACAAAACTGACCCAAAATTCTCATGACAATAATAACTGCGGTGTAGATTTGCAAAGACATGTTGGTGTGAAAATGTTAACGGAGGCGGCTTCCTTGTGGTTGAGGTAACGGTGAACTTGTAATGTGTCTTCTATTTAAATGTTTGATTTTTTTTAATGTACCTTCATCCCTCAAAACAGGCAACCTAGTTGTGCTTGTGAAAGGCTCTAGTAAATAAATAACGATACTCCTTAGTCTGAGTGGTTGAGATATCTAAAAGCCCAAAGCATTACTGTGTTTGTAATCTTCCAAAAAACAATAATATGTACTGGTCTCCTTAGTAATGAACTGTAAAGGTAGTTCATCCTAATTGGTAGTTCGTCCTAATTGGTAGTTAGTCCTAATTGGTAGTTCGTCCTAATTGGTAGTTCGTCCTAATTGGTAGTTCGTCCTAATTGGTAGTTCGTCCTAATTGGTAGTTTATCCTAATTAGTAGTTTATCCTAATGTAGACTGTCAAGAGCCCAAGGAGGGAGAACCCTTTTTTGTTCGTGAGCCCTCTGTATTTATCAGAATATTTTATCTTCACTGCACTGTGGACTACATACAAGTGGGCTAATTAAAACAGGACGCAAACCGTCACATGTGGAGGTACATCACTTGCCCCTTTGGTGCTTTGTAGAATTGTTGATCCACACCGGTGTTGGATCTTGCGCAAACTTGCTCATATGATTTGGACTTGTTTAAATGTTGGCTCTGCCATTGGTGCAGTGAGAGAGGCTTAGTTTCCTTCCTCACCTTTATAATGCAGCTGAATTAACTAAAGTGAAAGGACCTATTTCACACGGCTAGTGTAATGCCTGTTTGACTGTTTTGTTGTAAAATAGAAATGTCTGTAGAAACTTTTTTTCCCCCTCTTTGAGGTCAACGTTTATATATAGTACATTTTTTCAGACGTGCAGGTTTTCTAAAAAAACTAAAAAAAACTCTTTAAAAAAAGGTCTTCTAATTGAACATTTTACACAGTTTTCTATAACTCTTGACAAGGAGAATGCAAATTTATTTAGAGAATTTTACAGCAGGTATCTTGAAATATTTTTGATTGTTTTTATATTTTTAATTGAATCCTTTACATTTGGACATACTGTACACACATCACACCAGATTATCAGCATTTGCCTCGAGCTGCTGTTTTTTTTTAACTCAATCCTTTTCGTTTTTGTCCTTCCCTCCTCCCCATGGTTGTACATCTTCTTCTTAGTCGCAGTTGATTCAAGCATTAGAATTTTAAGGCAATATTGTAATTGTTTCTTGGTGCTCAAGGGGGTAATAACTTAATACTATTGTCTTTGGGACTTTTTATCATTTATTTTTGTCCAACTACAGAAAAAAAACACTTTTGCAGGTAAAAAAAGTAAGCATTGGCACAAATAAATGTTGATGTTCAGAACTGTGAACAATGCATATGTAATAAAAGTGGGACAAAGTAACCTCTTGGTTTGTATCGTGTATATTGGGAATTGTGAAATTGTTTTGATTGGCATGTAACATGTGCTCTAAGTTGACTAGCAGTTCCTGAAGACGTATGTTTCAGAACTTTCATTTTACTATTAAAATAAACGTACGTGTTGCAGATTATTTTTATAGCAATTGTTGATGCTGTTGTACATGTCAAAAGCATATAACATGCTTAACGTTGACTTCATGTTCTTGAGGACAACACATGACTGTTGAGAAACAGAAACGATGTTTCATTGTTTTATGCGGTTAGTTTACATGTCGAAAGCAGCAGTACCCTTGCTTGGGCTGATGCGATTGACATTGTAGTCGCTAGCATGAGGGGCGTTTTGGTGCATAATATTGTACAAAACTATTGGTTCAACGTTCCAAGAGTATAAAAGCGCTGCAGCAAAAGTAGACTTTGATATGTTCAGTTCATATTGACTTTGCCTGATGTAGCCAAGTGGACTTCATTGTCATCGCCAATAATAATTTATTACACTTGTTTTACCCAGGAAAGCCTCAGTCTCATGGTTTTATCAGAGGGTCTTGCCAGTTTTTTTTGAAGTAGGGGCAATGATTTCTTTGAATGCAATGGAATCATTTGCATTTATTACACGAAGGCTTTAGCAACCAATATTCATAATAGTTTTTTTGGGGTTGGATTGCGTGAATGTTAATATAGCTTTTTTGTGTTAGATCGCGTAAATATTTACGCGATCTCTACCCAAGAAACCTATCATTTAAATGTAATTTTCAAATTTCGCAAAACAATTGTAACGTGAGCACAAGCAGTGGCCTACTTTTTCAATGATGTCACCAGATCTAACGTCCACCTGCGAAGCAGGCTGCGTATATATGGTTAAACCCACAGTGATAACCAGGGCAGCTGCTGGATTCGAACGATAAACCTGCAGCAAGTTGCAAACGTGCCAACGCTCGGCCATGTTACCGCCCCTAGGCTGTCGGCACAACGGTTGAATGTTATGTTTATTCACTCGCATCATGTTTTGTATACTAATAAAATTGAAGACCTGTTTGCAAATGAAGCATTTCGTCCCGATTCCATGCTAGTGTTTCGTTTTCATCATTGGTCACAATTTGGCTCGGAGGAGATCACCAAGCCAGCACCACTGATGTCCTGGGTTTGTATGCATGTGTAGTGACTGACTCGGAGAGTAGGAGGCACGGTTTATTAACACGGCCTGACAACACTTTGTAACTACGTTTCCCAGTCAGGACAGCTGGTAGACTGCCTGACTGGCGACGCCGACATGGTGAAGACAGAGACGACGGTGAAGACTCCAGCAGCACGACGGGGATCCCGCTCCAAGCGACCGCCCCGAGGTCCCCTCCCCCCGGAGCCCCTCCTAAACTGTCAGCGTGGCCTGGCGCCGCCCCCGGCTACGCCCCCTTCTGGAACCTACGAGCGGGTTCTCGATGTGCCCCTTCCGTGACCTTTCCCCTAGATCCTGCTCTGGTTTATCACTTGGCCTGCTGTCAGTCAGTCAGCTGCTGCAAGCTGCAGATCCCCTTCCCTGCCAGCAGCCAGCACGATGCTGCTACTTAACCGATTTTATTTTGCTGCACATGTTTAGAATCATAGTGCTGACTGTTGTACAGCTGCTGCAACTGCAGGTGGGCACTTGGTGCACACGCCGTTGAGCATCGACACAGTGTGTGTGCCGGCAAGGCGGATGAACTGGGGCAAGGGTCACGGTAGACCTCATGGGGCCCCTGGAACTCTTGGTGGGTTCGAGAAGGGAGACCCGGCTTGGGCGGAGCCAAGCCGCGCCGAGGAGAATAAATGCAGCGGAGAGCGAGAGCTCCGGGCTGCTTGTTCTGGGAGTGGACTCATCTCGTTGCTGTTTTCATCATCGCGTGGCCGGACAGTAGTTGGCTGTCCCGGTCGGTGCAACGCAGACAGGGTCGTGTCTGGGCCGGGTTGTGTGGTAGCGTGGTCGTGAGAGAGAGGGGGCCCGAGTTGGTGGCGTGAACTCGACGACAACAACAAAAGTGTGGGGGACGTTGCCTCCTGCGACTACTTCGTCTCCGACTGAGTGTGTGTGTGCGACGCACGCCACCCGCACGCACACACAAGCCTCGAGCGAGAAGGACCCTACACGTATATATGTAAACTAATTTCTTTAGAACTGCTTTTTGTGTTTGTCCAGTTGGCTACGTAATGGTGCGAAGGACGTTCAATATACACCCTTGATTGAAAATGGTTCTTGAGTGGTGAGATAGTGGTCTCAGTCTGGTCACGAATGACTGCAAAAATCACCCCGAATTAGCTCAGGAAAATATAGAGTTGAAATGTCGCGCAACATTTCTGTAGCAGGTTGTGTGAATGCATTTTTTTGTGCGGAGTGGGAAACGTGAAGTGGTTTCAGAAGTAATCCTCTGGTATTGTCTTCCACAGGCGGATGTTCTATTAACATGGTGACAGTCCCGATTGACATTTTGGCTCGTGACTTTGACTCCCAAAGCACTTGGAATAAGGGGCCATCCATAAATGACGTCATGCACCTGAGGGGGGGTCAGACATTTGTGACGATGTGTGACGAGGAGGGGGGGAGTTTGCGAAATGTGACGTCACATCAAAATGCGCAACTTTAAATAAATCTAGACAACACGTTCTACTTATATTCTTGGTTTTTTCGGTCAAGTCACGTAGAAGGGAAACAATAAAATAAGAAAAATATAAAACAAAATTCTCACGACGTTTCGACTGCAACACCAGCAATCATCATCAGGTGTGGCAAAGGAGGTCTAATGATGTAGATGCTCACCCGGAGCCCTCATTACTTTGATAGTGCATTGTCTTTGAGCTGTGTGACGCCTTTTGGCGTCATCTGGTCGAGCACCAATTGGGTCGAGGCTCAAAAGAAAGCCGTCCCTTGGTGTGGTCCAATCAGTTTCAAGGACAATGCCACATATATTATCATAGTATGTTTTTTGCTTGCATTTTGACTGCAGGTATTGTGGTTAATGCAGACATAAATCCTTGTAAAAAGGTTTCCGTTTTGTTGCCAGAATAAAAGGGGAAAAAACCCTATTCTTGTGGTTGATGTAGTCAAGCTGGCCGCATAACTTGGCATATGCGGAGGCTTTCAGCATTGGATTGGCGCAGGGTTGCGGGCATTGTTTTTACATACGTCTTGTGAACATTGCTTCCCGCACTCCCGATGAGAGCGCTTGGCTACGTACGGTGCGAACGAAGTTCAACACAGTACATATTGGGTACAAAGGGTTGCGAGTAATGTTAAAAGCCGTGTTTGACTAACCAGTAGACTGCACTCCAGCTTGATTTCCCAGTGTTGGTGTGACACGGCTCGTTCCATCAGAGCTCCCAATAAATAAATGCAAGCTCCCAACGAGCACTTCTTCTGTTTGATTAAAGCTTTGTTGAAATTTGCATTCGCGTAATATGTAGATAAACGTGGATTACAACCATTGACGGTGTTAGGCTCTTTACAATTTGGCAGGTATTTTAAGGGAGACGATAGGTGTGTATGTGCATGTTATATAGTGTTATTTTTATATTGCAAATTAATACGAATTTTATAACGGTGAAACATTGAAATGTTGCCAAAACAAACATGTATTGGCTTAAAAATATAATATTTGTCTGTGTGCCACTGTTGCTTTCATTCTTTAATGTCACGCGAGTGATTTTCACCGTGCGCAGTGGTTTTGTTTTCAATGCATATCTGAACTGCGTTATAAGGGGAGGCAAGGGAAAATGTACAAAAGTGAGGGGGGGGGTAAGGGGAGAATATTGAACAGATTTAACCCTGGCTGGAATTTGAACGAATCTCTCGCCATTCTGTACGAGCCAGCGTTAGTCAAACAAGATCACACGTTCCTGGGTGCCCCTTAACAAGCGGTGGTGGAACGTATCTCCTTAGGATTCAACAGTTGCTGCAATATGCCTAATGAGCCACCCAAGGGACAACCGGATTGCATGCGTGTCTCTTCAGTCTGTCAGATCTGCACGTTTGGGTGGGGAGCAGGGGGGGTGTGCGATTTATAAATCTCGTGCCTATTAATGTCACGATGTGCATTTTCCCATCGGTGTTTCCTGATGTTGCGTTACAACTGGTAATGTGTGTCTGGCTTGTTCCATTGAAGATACACGCTGTACAATTGCAACGCCACCGCTTTAGAAAATGTTTAAAAACACTGTCCGAACTATGGGTTTGTAGTTGCTGGAGCTGAGTAGTCGACATCTGCATTCAATGCAGAACTTTTTATCTCATGTGGAACGGAGGCTTGCTCATGTAATTGAAATCGCAAGTAAACAATCACCTGGCTGGCAAAGGCTGCTGTGGATTGTGTCTGGCCTGGATTTAGTAGGGTTTCTCGTATAATTGATATGGGAAGTTCTGTATTTGGCTATTTTATGGCATCATTGGAATTGGTTTGAGCAGATCAATGACGAAATTAATATTTAAAAAAATCGTCGTACTTCGGTGGCGAGGTAGTTCAGGGGTCAACCATGATCTGGTACTGATGCTATTTTGTGTTTGAATCTGGGCAGCTAACCTGTGAATAAAGTGGCATTCCAATTATAGCAAGATGACGGTCTCAGCCCAGGCACCAATAATCGCACTACAATATTGACATAGTTTTTTTTATCGAATTTGCCCCAAAAAATTCCATCTCTTTGATTAAATATGTGCACCCAGTAATGATTGTCATGCAACAGACATCTCCATAGCAGAGCCTGTGGGAATGTGCAGAGCCCATTGTGTGGATGAGGCATCGTTTCGGTAGTTGTAATATCACGTTTCACGGGTGTTCGCAAAAACAAATTGTACTGCCAGAGTTTTGAATGCACACTTAGTCTCGTCGTAACATTGGGGGGAAAAAAACCAAAGGAAACATCCAAAAAGGAGAAATCCGTAGCCCTAATCCTAAACAGTACCGCACCTCCTTTTAGCACGGTTGCCTTTGTATGGTGCGAAAGAAGTTCAACATACACGGTACAAAATTGTCCAATTTGTGGAATACTGTCCACGTCCAATGTGGCAGCATCATTACTTTTGCTCATTACAGCACCAAACACCTTCCTCTGCCAGCGGCATAGCATGATGTGATCTCCTGGAGCGATCGTTCAAATTAGCGATGTGCTGCACGCATGTTACGCAGCTATAAGGAGGCACGGTTTAATAGATCACGTAACCTAATGAAACTGCCAACTCGGTTTGGGCGACGAGGCGATCATCGTTATCCCCCGTCCGAGTGGAGTTTTCTCCAGGTATATTGTATCCTTAATTTTTTTTCCCACGTGCAAAAATGGCCAAAGAGGACACTTTAAAAAAAGATGCCTTGCAAGCCTCCAACGTGTCACTTCTGCTGTGGTGGTGGTGGTTGGGGGGGTGAGGAATGCGACGTGTTTCTTAGACTGGCAGTTTTTGTGGCCTCACAATACGTCACTCAGGACGAAGGGGGGAAATCTGCTCGCAACAGTTGGCAGCGAGAGAATGGCATCTCTTAAACTTACACTGAGCACGAGCAGCCACGGTCAATTGCCAAGGGAGCAATGCGCCCCGCGCGCACCGTGGTTATGAGAGAAATTTGATGCAACGCGCTAATGGCTCGGCGCGGTATTGTGATCCTCAATTAAAACGAAATTAAAATGTATTCGACGCGAGCCTTCGTTCTGACGGCACCTCTGATTTTCGACTGGCTGCAAAAGAACCAGGGGGGTTGTGTTAAGTGCCACGAATGTTCAATTGTAAGCGTCTTACTCCGCCCGG